GCCTCTTGGGAGGTATTCAGGGGGAGGGACCTCCTGGGAGGTATTCGGGGGGGGGTGGTATTGGGTGGGGCCTCCTAAGAGGTATTCCAGGGGGGGGGGCCTCCTGGGAGGTATTCAGGGAGGGACCTCCTGGGAGGTATTCGGGGGGGGGGAGGTGTCGTCCTGGGGTATTGAGGGGGCCTCCTGAGAGGTATTCCGGGGTGGGGGGCCTCCTGGGAGGTATTCGGGAGACCTCCTGGGAGGTATTCAGGGGGAGGGGGCCCCTTGGGAGGTATTCGGGGGGGGGGAGGTATTCCGGGGAGGCGCCTCCTGGAAGGATTCGGGGGGGCCTCCTGGGAGGTATTCGGGGAGGGACCTCCTGGGAGGTATTCGGGGGGGGGGAGGTATTGGGTGGGGCCTCCTAAGAGGTATTCCAGGGGGGGGGCCTCCTGGGAGGTATTCAGGGAGGGACCTCCTGGGAGGTATTCGGGGGGGGGGGAGGTGTCGTCCTGGGAGGTATTGAGGGGGCCTCCTGAGAGGTATTCCGGGGTGGGGGGCCTCCTGGGAAGTATTCGGGAGGCCTCCTGGGAGGTATTCTGGGGGGGGAGGGGGCCCCTTGGGAGGTATTCCGGGGAGGCGCCTCCTGGAAGGTATTCAGGGGGGCCTCCTGGGAGGTATTCGAGCTATGAGACCCATGCAGTGCAAACAGGTTGGTGTGTCTTAGGCTTGCTTCCTACAGGTGTGAAGCAAGCAAGGTTGCGTTTCTACACATCACATGTAGGGCAGCCTTTTTATTTCAATGGCCTACCCTATGCCCGAGAAGCGCGGAAAAGACTTTTCTTCAAAAAGCGCACTGCGCCAAACCGCATGACACTCATCACCTTGCAGTTTGACATACAGACTTGCAGATGGGTGGGGATGCCACTAACAATTAATGCCGTGCATCTGCTAAAGGGCAGCACGTTTCTTTGCGTGTCGGGAAAGCGTGCAATTCTGTGTGAGTTCCCTACTTGCATAGATGTGAGCCTAGCCTTAGGGTCATTGTATTGTATTGTATTGGTATGTCACTCCAGTAGTGTTTGTTGCGTTAAGGTAAGCCATCCATTATGACGGACCAAAAATTGCTCCTGTACCAGATGTGATTAGTGCAGCACACCACGAGGCCACAGTAGGGATTACTGCACATTGCATTCTCTGCATTAAGGTACCCCCCCCCCAATACTTACCCTTACCCGAGCCCCATCTCAATCCAGTAATGTACACGAGAGCAGCGGCTCTCCTAGCTTTCTGTCTCCTCACTGGACAGATAGGCAGCAGCGAAAGCCATCTATCAGTATGAGGGTTTTTTTTAAATCTTTAATGCATTCTCTGCATTAATGTACCCCCCCCCCCCCCCCAATACTTACCCTTATCTGAGCCCCCATCTCAATCCAGTAATGTACACAAGAGCAGTGGCTCTCCTGGCTTTCTATCTCCTCATTGGACAGAGAGGCAGCAGCGAAAGCCATTAGCTCCTGCCGCTGTCAATGGCAGCCAATAAGGAGGGAATGGGGATGCGGCCGAACCGCGCTCTGTGTGTCAATCAGTGGCGGCTCGGGAGCGAGCATGCACGCGTGCCCCCATAGCAAGCGGCTTGCTATTGGAGCACTCAGCACAGGGGAGGAGACGGGAGCAAATGGAAAAACAAAAAGAGGGTGCACCGGCCTAGTGCATTATCATTTAAAAATATTTATTGAGAGAAAAAGGTAAGTATGATACTCACAATGGACATATAAAAACAGGCATATCACAATGAACAAGGTGTTCAATCCAAATAGCATCTGAGTCCATACGATGGAACCCTGGATGACCAAATGGCTGACGCGTTTTGAGGACTCAGCCTCTTCCTCAAAGCCCTAGGCGCAGACGGGAGCGCCAGCAGGGGACCTGAGAAGAGGAGGATCAGGACCGCTCTGTGCAAAACCATTGCAGAGCAGGTAAGTATAACATCGTTTGTTATTAAAAAAAAAATCACTTTATAAATGACCATTGTGACTTATTTGCATATTTTTTTTAAAAAGGCTTTTATTTGGCACAATGTTGTTTTAACCTTTTCACCGCCAGAGCCATTTTTGCATTTTTTGCAACCACTTGCCTATCAATAGACGGCTACAGCGTGGTTGGCTTGTTGCGGGAGAGCGTCTTTAGATGGCCTCCCAGAATCACGCCCCCCAGCGTGCCCCCTGAGGCATACTTTGTGGTCATGGTAAAGGGCCAATCAAAGCAGCCCTTTACCATGTGATCAGCTGTGTGCAATCACAGCTGGTCACATTGTAAACAGACTTGCTGGTTATCAGCAGTCCTTTCCTCATGTGCTGTCAGAGTGAGGAGAGGAAAGCCAGTAACCAGCAATTTACACAGGGGACATTTTACACTGAAATCAGGGCATTGATTATCAGTGCAGCCCCATTAGTGCCTCCTCATTGGTGCAGCCTGCCAGTGCCCATCAGTGCAGCCTATCAGTGACGGAGCAAAATTTTATTTTTTGCAAACTTATTTGCTAAATTTTATAACAAAAACTAAGAGAAAACGTTTTTGTTTTTTTTTTTTTTCCCCAAAATGTTTGGTATTTTTCATTTCTTAATCAAAAAAAAAACAAACCGTGGTGGTTAAACACCACGGAAAATCTTGCACGACTGCACTTCCATGTTCTGTGTACTGTGGGAAAGCGGTTATAGTGAATGCAGGGTCCGGGGAGACCAGATATAGTGAATGCAGGGTCCGGGGAGACCAGATATAGTGAATGCAGGGACCTGGGAGACCAGATATAGTGAATGCAGGGTCCGGGGAGACTGGATATAGTGAATGCAGGGTCCGGGGAGACCAGATATAGTGAATGCAGGGTCCGAGGACACCAGATATAGTGAATGTGGGGTCCGGGGAGACCAGATATAGTGAATGCAGGGTCCGGGGAGACCAGATATAGTGAATGCGGGGTCCGGGGAGACCATATATAGTAAATGCAGGGTCGGGGAGACCAGATACAGGGTCTAGGGAGACCAGATATAGTGAATGCTGGGTCCGAGGAGAGCGGAAATAGTGGATGCGGGGTCCGGGAGACCAGGTATAGTGAATGCGGGGTCCGGGGTGACCAGATATAGTGATTGCGGGGTCCGGGGATACCAGATATAGTGAATGCGGGGTCTGGGGCATCCAGATATAGTGAATGCGGGGTCCGGGGCATCCAGATATAGTGAATGCGGGGTCCGGGGAGACCAGATATAGTGAATGCGGGGTCCGGGGAGACCACATACAGGGTCTGGGGAGACCAGATATAGTGAATGCGGGGTCCGGGGAGACCAGATACAGGGTCTGGGGAGACCAGATATAGTGAATGTTGGGTCCGGGGAGAGCGGAAATAGTGGATGCGGGGTCCGGGAGACCAGGTATAGTGAATGCGGGGTCCGGGGAGACCAGATATAGTGATTGCGGGGTCCGGGGATACCAGATATAGTGAATACAGGGTCCGGGGAGACCAGATATAGTGAATGCGGGGTCCGGGGCATCCAGATATAGTGAATGCGGGGTCCGGGGAGACCAGATATAGTGAATGCGGGGTCCGGGGAGACCAGATATAGTGAATGCAGGGTCCGGGGAGACCAGATATAGTGAATGCGGGGTCCGGGGAGACCAGATATAGTGAATGCGGGGTCCGGGAAGACCAGATATAGTGAATGCGGGGTCTGGGGAGACCAGATATAGTGAATTCAGGGTCCGGGGAGACCAGATATAATGAATGCAGGGTCCAGGGAATCCAGATATAGTGAATGCAGGGTCCTGGGAGACCAGATATAGTGAATGCAGGGTGCGGGGAGACCAGGTATAGTGGATGCAGGGTCCGGGGAGACCGGATGTAGTGAATGCAGGGTCCGGGGAGACCGGATATAGTGAATGCAGGGTCCGGGGAGACCAGATATAGTGAATGCAGGGTCCGGGGAGACCAGATATAGTGAATGCAGGGTCCGGGGAGACCAGATATAGTGAATGCAGGGTCCGGGGAGACCAGATATAGTGAATGCAGGGTCTGGGGCATCCAGATATAGTGAATGCGGGGTCTGGGGCATCCAGATATAGTGAATGCGGGGTCTGGGGAGACCAGATATAGTGAATGCGGGGTCCGGGGAGACCAGATATAGTGAATGCAGGGTCCGGGGAGAGCGGATATAGTGAATGCAGGGTCCGGGGAGAGCGGATATAGTGAATGCAGGGTCCGGGGAGAGCGGATATAGTGAATGCAGGGTCCGGGGAGAGCGGATATAGTGAATGCAGGGTCCGGGGAGACCAGGTATAGTGAATGCAGGGTCCGGGGAATCCAGATATAGTGAATGCGGGGTCCGGGGAGACCAGGTATAGTGGATGCAGGGTCCTGGGGTTAGTAACACTTTAATTTAGTAAAGATAAACTGCTAAATATCTTTTCTGAACAGCAGTTAGAGCAGTCTTGTGACTTCTATCAGTGTCCAACAGAGCACTGGTTAAAGCTTGAAGGAAAAGTCTTCATTCTCCTCTGACTGTCCTGTGATGCTGCATAACTGCTGATCCTCTGTCTGGACAGTGCTGATTGGCCCTGTGCTGATCACATGCAGTCTCCCAAGAAAAAAAAAGAACTCTCTAGCTATACACACCTAACTGGGCATGTGCAGCTTTCCCCCAAGGCTCTGATCTATCAGCAGATAAATTGGGGACAGTAGAAGAAGGGGAGATTCAGGGAAGTCAGGATCAAACATCCTTTTTACACAATGCAGAGGATTAACCCCTTAGGTTCCACAGTGAGTATAACAAGCATGCTTTACTGCATATACAGACTGATTTTACTGTTGTGGGTTTAGTAACACTTAAAAAAAAAAAAAAAAAAACGAATGCAGCCAACACATCTAAAATAAATATAAAATAAACACCTCTATAGTCTGGTAAATTGCAAATATATAACATTTTTGATCATGGGTTTAGATATGATTTAAATGTTCTTTTTGCATCTTCCAGACTGCGGCCTTCTCTTGTCCGGCAGCGCTGCCTCACCCAACACACAGAGTCCTCTTCCCACGGCGTCACGGAGAAGCTGCTGGATTCCTCGCTGTCATCTTTGTCGGATGGGAGGCAGGAAAGGGACCTGTATGAGGAGATGGTGGCCAATCCACACAACTGTCCACTCCGAGCGGTAGGAGCATCTTGAAGGGAGGACATAGGGCCACTAGATGGACGAGGAATAGTTGTGGGTGTTGATTGGTGTTTATAAGGCCACAAAATATACATTGCAGGTTTGTTAACCCCTTCCCGCCCAGCATCCCTTCGTTAGAGTCTGTATGCCCAGTGTGCGGGAAGGATCTGTGATCATGTGACCTCTGTGATTGGCTGTCAGAGTGGTCACATATTCAGAAAACAGTCCCACCAACTACTCAGAAACCAGTCCCACCAACTATTCAGAGAAATCTTTGACCGCTCAGTCTTTGTGGTGGGAGCACACCAAGAGCTTGCGCTCAGTGCAAAAACAATGGCCGCCCAATGACACTTTTGTGTGACATGGGAATTAAAGCCCACCCCAAGCACGTGCATAAAGCTTCAAAAGTTGCTATCAGTCCTGCAGCTCTACCTGGTGAGCGGTATCCTGGTCGGTTCTTTATTGGGAAACTAAAGTGGAGTTCCACCTAGAAAAAAAAAATAAAAGTCAGCAGCTACAAAAACTGTAGCTGCTGACACTTAAAATACAGCCATTTACCTGTCCCTCGGTCCAGCGGTGTACTCACCACCGTTGGGATCACCGGCCATCTTCTCTCCCCGGTGCTGGCATCTTCAGTGTGGGCACCCGGCTTTGACAGCTTACAGCTTCACAGCCGGGTGCCCACTGCGCATGTGCGAGCAGCACTTCGCTTTGTGAATGGCCCCGTAGTCTTCTGGGACATGTCACGTTTCCCACAAGACTACGGGGAGGGAGGGGGGGGACAATTTCCACTTCCGATTGCCTAAGCCAGGGGTAGGCAACCTATGGCTCTCTAGCTGTTGTGGAACTACATTTCCCATGAGGCATTGCAAAGATTACAAACTGACAGTTACAGCTATGACTTGCAGAGGGATGATGGAACTTGTAGTCCTGCGGCTCTCAGGTTGCCTGGCCTAGGCGAACGCAGTGGGAGCGGGTACCTGTCAAATTTGGGTACCCCCTACTCCACCCCCCCCCCAGCTCCCAAAGGTGCCGATCCTTAATGGGCTTAATGGGGAGCGGGGGACAAAGGCTTACAGCGGAACTTCCCCTTTTGGGTGGAGCTCACCTTTACTATCAACCATCCGCCTCATTGTCCTGAGAACCAGAAAGAGACGGGATAGTTACATAGTTAGTCTGGCTGAAAAAAGACAAAAGTCCATCCAGTTCAACCATAAAAAAAAAAAAGTTATAATCCTATACCTACAGTTAATCCAGAGGAAGGCAAAAAAAAAACCCAGCAAAGCATGATCCAATTTGCTCCTGCAGGGAAAAAATTCCTTCCTGATCCCCCCGAGAGGCAGTCAGATATTCCCTGGATCAACTTTACCTATAAATGTTATATCCCGTTATATTCTGTGTATCCAAGAAAGAATCCAGGACTTTTTTTAAAGCAACCCACTGAGCTGGCCAGAACCAACTCTTGAGGGATGGGTTATTGGAATGTTTTTTTGGGGGCGGGGGTGTGCACTGGTACGTGCTCGCTCCCGAGCCCTGCTCTATGCTTCCATAAGACCATAGAGCCGCGACTCGCCCCCACCCCCTCTGCTCTCTCTCCCCATTGGCTTGCTGGCTGTGATTGACGACAGCAGTGGGAGCCAATAGCTCCCTGCTGCTGTCTCAGCCAATGTGGGGACTGAGGCCAGAGACAGCCAAGGCTCCCGTGCATATCGCTGGACTAAGATCGGGCTCAGGTGAGTACTGGGTGGGGTGTATCTGGGGGGGGGGAGCAGCACACAGAAGTTTTTTTTTACTCTCATGCATAGACTGCATGAAGGTAAGAAACCTTCAGCCTTTACAGCCACTTTAGGCTATGTTCACACTAGCTTTGTCAGCAGGTGTTAGACAGGCATTTGGAAAGCGTTTTTAACGCTCCTCAAATGCCTATGAAAATTCTATGCATGGCAGCACACAGTGCTGTTCACACTGAAGCGTTAGCATCACGTTGCGGCAAAATTGACGCCTCATGTGGAGTCAGGAGGAATTTGTCTCAGTAAGACACTTTTTTGTTGAATTATTTATTCTAATATCCCTTTTTGGATCTTGTTTTCAGTACTCCCCCCTGCCTCCACCCTGGTGTCTCCCACCGCTCTCTCACTTCTCATCTCTAGCCTGTAAGTCACAGTATGTGCGAAGGAAGGAGTCGAACCGCAGTCTTGACTGGTGTCATTACTGTCTGCCATCAGAGGACATCTCTCCCCCTCATGTGAGTACCAGTCATTTTAAAGGATAACTCCACTTTCGTGGGAAAAAAGTAAAATAAAAACAAAATTTACAGTGTAGTGTATACAATTGCTACACAAGTCATATTGCAATTGAATGTGATTAGATATGACCCATCCTTTTCAATCTGCAGCGCTGTAAAATTCAATGCAATATGGCAACCTGGAGATGTTCCTTACACCAGTGCTGTGAGTTGCACCTCCAGAAATATCATTTTCTGCTTTTGTGATTTTGCTCACTGATTTTTCCCAGAAGACTAAGATATACACTATATTGCCAAAAATATTGGATCAGCCCTCCAAATCCTTGAACTCAGGTGTTCCAGTCCCCTCCATGGACACAGGTGTATACAATCAAGCCCCTAGGCATGCAGACTGCTTCTACAAACATTGGTGAAAGAATGGGTCGCTCTCAGGAGCTCAGTGACTCCAAGCGTGGTCCCGTGATAGGTGGTCACCTGGTGCAATAAGTCCATCCGTGACATTTCCTGGCTACTAAATATTCCACGCTCAACTGTTAGTGGGATTATAACAAAGTGGAAGCAACTGGGAACAACAGCAACTCAGCCACCAAGTGGTAGGCCACGTCGCATAACAGAGCGGGGTCAGTGCATGCTGAAGCGCACAGTGCGCAGAAGTCGCCAACTGTCTGCAGAGTCAATAGCTAAAGACCTCCAAACTTAATGTGGCCTTCAGATGAGCCCAACAACAGTGCGTAGAGAGCTTCATGGAATGGGTTTCCATGGCCGAGCAGCTGCATCCAAGCCTTACATCACCAAGCGCAATACAAAGCGTCGGATGCTGTGGTGTAAAGCACGCTGCCACTGGACACTAGAGCAGTGGAGACGTGTTCTCTGGAGTGACCAATCACGCTTCTCTGGCTGGCAATGTGATGGTCGTATCTGGGTTTGACGGTTGCCAGGAGAATGGTACTTGCCTGACTGCATTGTGCCAAGTGTAAAGTTTGGTGGAGGGGGGGGTTTATGGTGTAGGGGTGTTTTTCAGGGATTGGTCTTGCATATTTGCATAACTCCTCCCAAGAGCCATCCCACTACTTGCAACAAGACTGATGGCTGTTGAGAGGGAGTACTGAGGCAGGGTGCTGTGATGTGTTCAGGAAGCCGGCCGCTCCCGCCAGACATGATAGAGAATACATAGACACAGCATGTATTGGGAGTCTAATTATAAGCAGATTAAGCCCTGGTTCACGCTGATGCGGTGCGGAATTTGCAGCGTTTTCAGTGCAAATTCCTCACCGCATCAGAATCGCAAGTTAACAACACCCTGAAAGCGGTCCACATAACGCGGTGCGATGTGAAGAATTGGATCGCATATGTGTGAATACCCATGCGATCCGATTCTAGTGTGGACCAAAAAGGGTCCTGCATGTTTAGTATGGGTGCGGTGTGAGTAGAGCCATACAAAATGTATGGCTCCGATTGCACCGCACACAAATCGCATGTGATTTGCACAGGAATGTGCAAATCACATGCGATATATGGAGCAGCACATATGTGAACCCAGGCTAAAGGTTTTTCTGTTTTTTGTTTTGTTTTTCAAGCTAGAGTGGTTTGGGGTTTTAGCCTCTGACCATTTTTTTTATTCATTTTCTGTAGGGAAGGGAGGGAAAGTCCAACATTTTCAGATGTCATTGAGCAGCAGAGCAGAGTGGAAGTCTTCCAATGTGGACACTTGTTCCAGCAACATCATTCTAAGAGGGGATTTTCCCTACTTTGGAGAGATGTCCTCTCACTCTTTGTGTCCGTTCTTCTTCTATACACAACAGTTAGGTACATTACTCTGATGGTTCCTGGGCTACCATCGCTCTTTCCTGGGCTACCATCGCTCTTTCCTGGGCTACCATCGCTCTTTCCTGGGCTACCATCGCTCTTTCCTGGGTCATCTAGTTGCTCACTGGACAGAGGATGATGCCACTCCCTGGGTTTGGAAATTTAGCTTCCTAATGTCTCCTTGTCCAGATACTAGTCATGTATCATTGGGAACTGCAGGTGTCACCTGTCTGGTCGTGCAGTATGGAATGTTCGCCTAAATAAGACATTTAGCTATTTCACCAGAGTTTTGTATAAATGGACTGAGACTGAACAAAATCTGGTTTTGCATCTCTATTCATTTTAATGCCATCTCTCTCCCCTCATATTTATTTATCTTATACCTCTCCTCCTCTCTCCCACTTTCTTCCTTGTTTTCCCTCATTCTTGCACTCTCTCTCTGTCTCTCTCCCCCCTCTCTATCTCTATCTGTGTCTCTCTCTGTCTCTGTTTTCTCTCTCTCTCTCTGTGTTTCTCTGTCTCTCTTCTCTGTCTCACTCTCTGTCTCTGCCCCCCCCCCCCCTCTCTCTATCTGTATCTCTCTCCCTCTCTCCCCCCTCTCTCTCTATCTCTCTCTCTGTATCCCCCCCCTCTCTCTCTCTCTCTCTGTTTCTCTCTCTGCCCCCCCTCTCTCTGCCCCCCCTCTCCCCCCCTCTCCTCTCTCCTCTCTCTCTTTCTCTGTCTCACTCTCTGTCTCTGCCCCCCCTCTCCCCCCTCTTCTATCTTCTCTCTCCTCTTTCTCTCTCTATCTCTCTCTCTCTCTCTCTGTTTCCCTCTCTCTCTGCCCCCCTCTCTCTCTCTCCCTCTCTCTCTCTGTTTCTCTCTCTCTCTCTCTGTTTCTCTCTCTCTCTGTCTCGCTCTCTTGCTTTGTCCCACTCCCAGGTCCTCCTCGGTGTTCTTCATGCTTCCTCCTCAGGTATCCTCCAGTTAAGGGACCGGTCCTCATCCCTCACCTGCCTGATTCTGCCGAACTCCCCCATTGCTTGGATAGGTAAATCCAGAAAATGTATTTCTAAAATGTACCTTGCACAGTGCTGCCACATGAACAGTGCTATCAGAATGATAGGGTAGACACAAGGGCATAGTCTGTTAAGGTGTTTGTGTTTTGACCTTCGTGTTTGCTGCAATATTGCAGTTAAAATACAAATAAAATATCCTGTATGATAGTATGACACAGCTGGTCTGTAGTGGGGAAAAGCTGAATCTCGTGGTGCTTCTTTTCCCGGTCTGGCTCTGATCTCTCATATACTCTCTGTGTTTCAGGATGTGTCCTCGAGGTGCGTCAGTATCAGCTAGTGGTGGAAACTCTGCAACGCAAAGACAATGCCATAGAACAACGTAACAGGTAACACCTCCCTATAATTTTTCGTAGGATGACTGTCCAGCAGAGGCCATAATAAAAGGCTATGCCAACCTTAAAGTAGAACTAAAGTTTAAAAACTACGTACAAGGAAGGTCTTTATTGCTGAAGAAACATCCAATGTCTCTTCTGCAATAAAAATACACTTGCCTGCCTGTTCGAAATCTTCTTACAAGTACATTGAGCTGTGCATTCGCATGCAGATCTATATAGAATCAGAATCTCCTTCCTCCTGCTGGTGACCTCTCTAGTGATATGACTAATTGGATCACCAGCAAGAAGAAGGAGGTCCTGATTCCTCTATACAGATCTTTAGATATTACTAAATGGACCAGCAGCAGGAGGAAGGAGGTCCTGATTCCTCTATATAAATCTTTAGATATTACTAGATGGACCACCAGCAGGAGGAAGGAGGTCCTAATTCCTTTATATAGATCTTTAGATATCACTAGGTGGATCACCAGAAGGAGGAAGGAGGTCCTGATTCCTCTATATAGATCTTTAGATATTACTAGATGGACCACCAGCAGGAGGGAGGAGGTCCTGATTCCTTTATATAGATCTTTAGATATCACTAGGTGGATCAACAGAAGGAGGAAGGAGGTCCTGATTCCTCTATATAAATCTATAGATATCACTAGAGGGTTCACCAGCAGGAGGAAGGTGGTCCTGATTCCTCTATATAGATCTTTATATATCACCAGCAGGAGGAAGGTGGTCCTGATTCCTCTAAATAGATCTTTAGATATCACTAGATGCATCACCAGAAGGAGGAAGGTGGTCCTGATTCCTCTATGTAGATCTTTAGATATCATTATATGGATCACCAGAAGGAGGAAGAAGGTCCTTATTCCTCTATATAGATCTTTAGATATCACCAGCAGGAGGAAGGTGGTCCTGATTCCTCTATATAGATATCACTAGATGCATCACCAGAAGGAGGAAGGAGGTCCTGATAACTCTATATAGATCTTTAGATATCATTATATGGATCACCAAAAGGAGGAAGGAGGTCCTGATTCCTCTATATAGATCTTTAGATATCACTAGAGAGGTTACCAGCAGGAGGAAGGTGGTCCTGATTCCTCTATATAGATCTTTAGATATCACCAGCAGAAGGAAGGAGGTCCTGATTCCTCTAAATATATCTTTAGATATCATTATATGGATCACCAGATGGAGGAAGGAGGTCCTGATTCCTCTCTATAGAGTTTAGTTACCACTACGGGGACCACCAGCAGGATGAAGGAGGTCTTAATTCCCCTAATATAGATCTATAATTATGACTAGATGGATCACCAGCAAGAAGGAGGTCCTGATTCCTCTATATAGCTCTTTAGATAATTATAGATCTCTATAGGGGATTTTAAGATTAGGTGATAACTAAAAGTCTATAGAGGGGAATCAGGTCCTCCTTCTGGTGATCCCTCTAGTGATCTCTAAAGATCTATATAGAGAAACGAGGACCTCCTTCTTCCTGCTGGTGAACCCCTCTAGTGATAAATAAAGGTCTTTATAGGGGAATCAGGACCTCCTTCACCCTTCTGGTGATCCCTCTATTGATAACAAAAGATCTATATAGAAGAATCAGGACCTTCTTTCTTCTGGTGATCCCTCTAGTAATGCATCCCAGAATTCTGATTGCTTTCCACATTTCCAGGCCGCACTGTTTGCTCATTTTGCAATCATCTCAAATAGGTACTCCTATATCTTAAAACAAGAGTAATCTATGCATAGGCATTTCTTCCTGAGAAGGCACGGGCAGCAGATGTGTGGAGTAGTTGGGGAAAAGCCAAAAGAAATAACAATGGTCCTTCAGCAGCCACAAAAGCTCAGACGAGTGAGCATCCCTGCTGGTACATTTAACTTACATATTACTCTAGTTTTTAATACCTGAAAGGTTTTCAGAGATATGAGATGGTCATGCAATCCCAGCTGAGTTGTTGATTGGGCAACTGTGCTACAATTGGAGTTCTCCATGGACATTTCAGCTAAAATAATGTGACCAAATGCCTTTTTGGTCATGACTAGTCAGCATGGAAGCCAAGTGCTGTTTCAAGCCCAGCTATTTTTTATCATGTGAAAGTATAACAGGGATGGGCTGGTTACTTTAATAATTGATTACAGTGAGGGTCCGACGGTGATGATCTGGGAATGTAGAAAGATTCTCCCCACTGATAGCACATAAAGACTTTTTCGCGTTGTATGTAACTTTGTTATCTGAGTCAGTAATGAAACGTCATGTACAAATGTGGGCTTGTGAGAATCATCCTCATTTGTCTGGTGTAATTGTTACATAATTGTTGGTATTCAGTAGAAGTGTTTATATAGAGCAGCAACAAGTAGGATAAATCAGCTTCCAGCTAACTATATCCAGCGACTAATGCATCTGTCCACTCAATTTAGATTTTTTTTTTTATATTAACCACTTCCTGTCCGGACACTTTTACCCCCTTCCTGTCCAGGGCAATTTTCAGCTTTCAGCGCTATCACACTTTGAATGACAATTGCGCGGTCATGCAATACTGTACCCATATGAATTTTTTACCATTTTTTTTAGACAGATAAAGCTTTATTTTGGTGGTATTTATTCACCGCTGAGATTTTTATTTTTTTTACTATGTAAATGAAAAAGTCCAAAAATTTTGAAAAAAAGTGTTTTTTTTTTATAAAAAATGTTGCAAATAAATAATATTTCATCCTAAATCTTGGCCAAAATTTATTCCGTTATTTTTTTAGTAAAACAAAAAAAAATCCAAATTAGTTTATAACCAAACATTATAATTTTTAAACATTTTTTTTTACATTTTTATTTTATTTTTTTTTATATTATTTTTTATTTTTATTTTTTATTTTTACATACTGTCACCCTAGCAGTACAGTGTCACCATGGTGACACTGTACTACTTGTGGGGGGTGATGAAGATTTTTTTTTTTTTTTTTTACACTGATTGCTTTTACACCCATATAGGATGTAAAAGCAATCATTTCTCTTTCTCTCTGTCTGCATTCTTGCAGTCATTGAGAAATACTGAGTGAGCTGTGATTGGTCACAGCTTGTCACATGGTACAAGGCTGTTGTGAATAGCCTTGTACCATGTGACCTCTGTGATCATTCACAGATTTCACACGTAGTAAGCAATGATGTCACAAGTGACATCTTGCTTACTACTTTGCATGTGATCACTGATTCGCCAATCAGTGATCACATGACCGGGACCTCGTGCAGAGGTCCCGTCCGACGATCGGTGTTTCACTGTGTCCGGAGGACACAGCGGACACCGGATCGCGGTGGTGCGCGCTCCTAGGGAGCGCGCACAGCTAGAAAAGGCGGGTGCCGTTTAGGAACGGCAACCCGACCTTGGACTGCCACCGCCCTGCCGTTTATAAACAGCAGGCGGACGGCAAGAGGTTAACAATTTTTTTATTGATATATATATATATATATATATATGTATATACAAAAAATAACGCAGGAGAAAGAGAGCACATCGATGGTGAGATCTGCATGGTTACAAACATGACAATCAATTTAGATTTTAATTGTTCTTTTTTGTTTTTTTAATGTTACGTTTTTAACCACTTCAATACTGGGCACTTTCACCCCCTTCCTGCCCAGACCAATTTTCAGCTATAAGCACTATCATACTTTGAATGACAATTACGTGGTCATGCAACACTGTACCCATACAAAATTTTTATATATATATATTTTTTTTTTTTTTCAAACAAAGCTTTCTTTTGGTGGTATTTAATCACCACTGGGGTTTTAATTACTAGCTCAATAAACAAAAAAAGACCGAACATTTATGAAAAAAAAAATGCGTTTTTTCTTAACTTCTGTTATTAAATTTTACAAACAAATGATCTTTCTTCATAAATTTAGGCCAAAATGTATTCTGCTAAATTTCTTTGGTGAATTATTTAGTCTGTGTGAATGTTATAGGGTCTACAAACTATATATCTGAAAATTGATCAGTCCTAATGTATTGATGGACGATCTCATTTATTGAGGCTCGAAAACGCCAGGACAGTACAAAGACCCCCAAATGACCCCTTTTTGGAAAATAGACAGTCCAAAGTATTTAGTAAGAGGCATGGCAATTTTTTTGCACTTGTAATTTTTTGGAAAATGAAGAAATTCTAAAAACAATTTTTTTTTTCTTTTTTCTTTTTTTTTTTACAAATCGTCACCAGTGCAGTACAGAGCATCATCATATAACTGGTATGGCGGTAATCAGAGACACTGACTGGTGACCGAATGCAAACAAAAAAATCTCTCACATGGTACAAATGGGCTATGATTGGCTTTGTCTGTACCATGTGATCACTCTGACCAATCACATTGGGTACAATTGTCGTGATCTGCTGTGATTGGTGAGGGAGATACAAGGGACCAGTAGTGGTCAGTACACTGGTTGTCTGCTGTGTCCAGTCATATGGCGTCCACCCAAAGCAACGAGTGTCCTGCCCTGCTGTAATTTGACAATAGGCCAGGTGGGAACTGGTTAAACAAATGTTTTACTACATATGTATAAAATTGTATACGTGAAGGAGGATTCCAAGAGCAATATGGCTTAGCTAAAGAGCCAGCACAGTTATAGTTTTTTCCATTCAGAAATTTAAAATTTTCATTGTAACCTTGGACGGAGCAGGAGTTACAGCAAGAGGCAGCTGTGTGACAGCTCAGGTAATTGTTGATTGACCCAGTGCTGTCACATGGGGTATGTTAATGTGTTACTAAAGCCCGGACTCTGCATCCACTCTATCTGGTCTCCCGGACCCTGCATTCACTATATCTGGTCTCCCCGGACCCTGCTGCATTCACTCTATCTGGTCTCTCCCAGACCCTGCATTCACTATATCCGCTCTCCCCGGACCCTGCATTCACTATATCTGGTCTCCCCGGACCCTGCATTCACTATATCTGGTCTCCCCGGACCCTGCATTCACTATATCTGGTCTCCCTGGACCCTGCATCCACTCTATCTGGTCTCCCCAGACCCTGCATTCACTATATCTGGTCTCCCCGGACCCTGCATTCACTATATCTGCTCTCCCAGGACCCTGCATTCACTATATCTGGTCTCCCCGGACCGTGCATTCACTATATCCGCTCTCCACAGACCCTTCATTCACTATATCTGGTCTCCCCGGACCCTGTATTCACTATATCCGCTCTCCCCAGGCCCTGCATTCATTATATCTGGTCTCCCCGGACCCTGCATTCACTATATCTGCTCTCCCCGGACCCTGCATTCACTGTATCCGCTCTCCACAGACCCTGCATTTACTATATCCGGTCTCCCCGGACCCTGCATTCATTATATCTGGTCTCCCGGACTCTGCATTCACTATATCTGGTCTCCCCGGACCCTGCATTCACTATATCCGGTCTCCCCGGACCCTGCATTCACTATATCTGGTCTCCCCGGACCCTGCATTCACTATATCTGGTCTCCCCGGACCCTGCATTCACTATATCTGGTCTCCCCGGACCCTGCATTCACTATATCTAGTCTCCCCGGACCCTGCATTTACTATATCTGGTCTCCCCGGACCCTGCATCCACTCTATCTGGTCTCCCCGGACCCTGCATTCACTATATCCGGTCTCCCCGGACCCTGCATTCACTATATCCGCTCTCTGAGACCCTGCATTCACTATATCTGCTCTCCCCGGACCCTGCATTCACTATATCTGGTCTCCCTGGACCCTGCATTCACTATATCTGGTCTCCCCGGACCCTGCATTCACTATATCCGGTCTCCCCGGACCCTGCATTCACTATATCTGGTCTCCCCGGGCCCTGCATTCACTATATCTGGTCTCCCACAGCACACACAACATGAAAATGGAAACTATTTTAGTAAATATAAACTGCTAAATACCTTTTCTCATTAGCAGTTAGAGCAGTCTTGTGACTTCTATCAGTGTCCAGCAGAGCACTGGTTAAAGCTTGTAGGAGGTTTCATTTTGCTCTAGGAGGATGCAGAACCCCTGACCTCTGTCTGGACCGTGCTGATTGACCCTGTGCTGATCACATGCACTCTCCCAAGAAAAAAAAAAACAAAACTCTCTAGCGATACACACCAGACTGAGCATGTCTCCATACAATATGTCTTATCAGGAGATAAGAGGGGACACTGGAAGAAGGGGAGGATCAGAGAAGTCAGGATCAAACAGCGTTTTTACACAATGCAGAGGATTAACCCCTTAGGTTCCACAATGAGTATAACAAGCATGCTTTCCTGCATCTACAGACTGATTGTACTGTTGGGGGTTTAGTAACCCTGTGTAAGCATTGAATGGTGTGACATGGAGATTACTCTGAGCTGTCTTTCTTCTGAATGGCACAGTGGGGGAATGTGCTGCTGGTGGGGCTGGAAATAAAGTGAACCTGTTGTTTTTTTTCCCTCCATGTGAAGAGATCAGGTTCACTTTAACATAGACTAACTGGACCATCTCTATGTCTTGTCCCTCAGGACCTACGCTGTGTTCCTTGCTGAACATGTGACCATTCTTCACTCACCGCACAGCTGTCCCTCTTGCTCAGTCCCCAGACCTGCTGAACCGTGTCCTAGTAAGGTGCGGCGGGTGGATAGTTCCTGGGCACGGCGTCTTCTGCTGATCGAGACCATAGAGGGTATGCTGGCTAAGCCGGGCCATGAAAAGGGGCTTCAGTTTCAGGCCAAAGCTTCATGGGGGGATGTGCAAGAAACAGCCTGCAGGGGACAAGATGGAGAACAAAACACAGGACTTTCAAAAGATGGTGACAAGCCACCTAGCAAGGTAAGGTGCACACAGGATTGTGTATGGGGATTATAATAAAAACTGATATGAAATCTGAACAGCAGGGGAGATCAGACTACACACTCAACAAAATGAGGGTCACACCCTCTTCTTTTTCTAACTTCCCAGCAAGGACTAGATTAGTCAATTATACATGAGCCGTCCAAAAGCATTCCATTGGCTTTCTGATTGGAAAGCAGAAATAGGATTATAAAAAAACTAATCATTCACAGAGGTAAGTACAGCAGGGAACGAGGGGGCAGGAGAGTGTACGTTGTTAGTTCGGGGGGGGGGGGGGCGCTCGTGCTCGCTGGTATGGATTTTGGGGGGACCCCCACGCTTTTTTTTTTTTTTCGTGTGGGAGTTCCCCTCAAGGTCCACACCAGACCCGAAGGGCTTGGTATGGATGGGAGGGGGGATCCCACGCTGTTTTTTTAAATTGTTTTTTTTTAGTTGCCAGCAATTCTTTTACATTCAGCTGTCAGTGGGGAACCCTGCTGGCAGCTGAAAAATTAACACGTTTGTCACTACTAAAATACCGCATGACAGTAAAATAACTCATGCGGGACTTTAGTAGTGTTTACGTTTTTTCTGATCCCTGGAACGGATTAATTGGTTTTCAATGCATTCCTATGGGAAACGGCGTTTCGGTTTACAAATTTTTTTGCTATGCGAAAAGTCCTGCAGAACGAATTTAATTCGTAAACCGAGGTATTACTGTACTTTCCTACTGGAACTGATCTTGTGATCATAGCTGGCAGGCCCTCCCACCTTACTAAGTCAGAAAAGGTTACTACAATGGCCGTTCTCAGTATTTGCAGCAGGTAAGCAAGCAAGAATCAACAATTACATCTTCTAAAATCTTTTTATAGCATGACATTGGTCTGAAGAGGATCATTTCCCCTCAATTAAAATGAAATATTTTTTTTCTGAATGTAATTTCCACATAACGTATAATTTTTTACTACACACGCAGTTACAGGTTGTGATTTTTACTGTGTTATTCTACCTTTTAGTTAGAATGCCTTAAATATTGTCATACTAATCTAACCGTCTGTAAAGTCTTCATTTTCTCTCATCTGCAGGTTCTGCTGCTCTTCTCTTCCTCCTCCGTTCGATGGTTTCCATTACTCCAGCCCAATACACAATATCAGATTATTGCCAGCAGAGTAACGGTGAGAAAAACTGGTGATGATCAGAAAAAGGCGAGACCTAATCTGTGAGGAGGAGGAGATCAGACTCATAGCCCCCTTCTGTCTGTATCACGCTGCAGGAGGAGGACAGACTCATAGCTCCCTTCTGTCTGTATCACCCTGCAGGAGGAGTTCAGACTCATATCCCCCTTCTGTCTGTATCACCCTGCAGGAGGAGGACAGACTCATAGCCCCCTTCTGTCTGTATCACGCTGCAGGAGGAGGACAGACTCATAGCCCCCTTCTGTCTGTATCGCCCTGCAGGAGGAGGACAGACTCATAGCCCCCTTTTGTCTGTATCACCCTGCAGGAGGAGAACAGACTCATAGCCCCCTTCTGTCTGTATCGCCCTGCAGGAGGAGGACAGACTCATAGCCCCCTTCTGTCTGTATTACCCAGCAGGAGGACAGACTCCTAGCCCCCTTCTGTCTGTATCACCTTGCAGGAGGAGGACAGACTCATAGCCCCCTTCTGTCTGTATCACCCTGCAGGAGGAGGACAGACTCATAGCCCCCTTCTGTCTGTATCACCCTGCAGGAGGAGGACAGACTCATAGCCCCCTTCTGTCTGTATCACCCTGCAGGAGGAGGACAGACTCATAGCTCCCTTCTGTCTGTATCGCCCTGCAGGAGGAGGACAGACTCATAGCTCCCTTCTGTCTGTATCGCCCTGCAGGAGGAGGACAGACTCATAGCTCCCTTCTGTCTGTATCACCCTGCAGGAGGAGGACAGACTCATAGCCCCCTTCTGTCTGTATCACCCTGCAGGAGGAGGACAGACTCATAGCCCCCTTCTGTCTGTATCACTCTGCAGGAGGAGGACAGACTCATAGCTCCCTTCTGTCTGTATCGCCCTGCAGGAGGAGGACAGACTCATAGCTCCCTTCTGTCTGTATCGCCCTGCAGGAGGAGGACAGACTCATAGCTCCCTTCTGTCTGTATCACCCTGCAAGAGGAGGACAGACTCGTAGCCCCCTTCTGTCTGTATCACCCTGCAGGAGGAGGACAGACTCCTAGTTTCCTGTTCTCTTGTATTGCAGGATGCTGGTATATTTGATCCATTGTCGGGGTGCTGTGTAGATATGCCAGGTGGTCTGCAGTGTCTGAAGGTCCCCAGTGATTGGATGCTGGAAGATGTAGAGGTACATTCTAGATTATCAGGTGAATAATCTGTGTATTTGATATCTGCAATACAGGTCATGTTTTCTTCTTGTGTCCACAGAATTCTGAACATTCATACAATGTTGAAAGCTTCTCCATAGAGGAGGCAGTGAAGAGCAGGTAACCCCGTATATTCTACTTCTGTCCATCAAAAACGTCATTCAGTTTTGGGTGGATGTGTGTGAATGCGTTCTACTATTCCCAGGATCTTCCGTCCTTCTACCACAGCCGTTCTGAGGGGAGCTCATTCAGGACTGGACTGTTCTTTGCCCAAAAAGAAATGAAGGGTCTATAATTTATATCATAATAAATATATATATTTCATGTATTTTAACCCCTTGCCTACCGGGCACTTATACCCCCTTCTTTACCAGGCCAATTTTCAGCTTTCAGCACTGTCGCACTTTGATTGACAATTGCGCGGTCATGCAGCATTGTACCCACATTAAATTTTTATCTTTTTTTTCTCACAAATAGAGTTTTTGTTTGGTGGTATTTAATCGCCGCTGGGCGCTTTACTCTTTGCGCTATAAAAAAAAAAAATTGCAAAAAATTTGAAAAAAAAAAAAAGTTTCTTTGTTTCTATTATAAAATTTTTCAAACAGGTAATTTTTCTCCTTCAATGATGTGCGTTGATGAGGCAGCACTGATGGGCACTGATAGGCGGCACTGAAGGGCACAGATAGGCGGCACTGATAGCCAGCACTAATGAGGTGTCACGGATAGGCGGCACTGATAGGCGACACTGATGATGGGTACTGATAGCACTGATAGGTGGCACTGACTGGCATCACTGCTGGGCACTGACCAGCACAACCGCTGGGCACTGACTGGTGGCACTGCTGGGCTGCACTGATGGGCACTTCTGGGCACAGGTGGGTGGCACTTCTGGGCACAGGTGTGTGACACTGCTGGGTGGCACAGGTAGGTGCACTGCTGGTTGGCACAGGTGGGCGCACTGCTGGGCACAGGTGGGCGGAATTTGTGGGTGGCACTGCTGGGCACCGATCATCAGGGCACTGATCATCAGTGCCGATCCCTGCTCTGACAACTGCCGGTTCTCGGCAGTACTTTCCTCACGATCTGACAGCGTGAGGAAAGTGCAGCCGAGAACCGGCAATTGCATTTCCTGGTGATCAGCGTGTCATGGGACACGGCTGATCACGTGGTAAAAGGGCACTGTGATTGGCCTTTTACCACATCACATGATCAGCTGTGTCCATAGGACACAGCGATCATGGAGATCGCCGGGGGCAGGCAGCAGAGCGCGTTCTGGGAGGACGTCATATGACGCCCACCCAGAACTGGCCGGCCGCAGTGTAGCCGTCATTCTATCTGCTATCTGCGGTCGGCAGGTAGTTAAATAATTAGCACAGAATATCAACCAGAAAAATCACACATGATACAAATGTTATAAATTGAGTTGCAGTTCAGTAAGTAAATTAAGTATTTGATCCCCTACCAACCAACCAACAATAATTCTGGCTCCCACAGACTATGTGCTCATGTGGTACACAGATTAGTCCTGTCAATTTAAGAAGGGGTCCTAACGACAACTCATTGTGTGTATAAAAGACACCTGTCCACAGAATCTCTTTCTTCCATTCAAACCTCTCCATCATCATGAGCAAGACCAAAGAGGTGTCAAAGGACGTCAGGGACAAGATTGTAGACCTGCACAAGGCTGGAATGGGCTACAAGACCATCAACAAGAAGCTTGGTGAGACGGACACAACTGTTGGAGCGATTATTAGGAAATGGAAGAAATACAAAATAACCATCTGGAGCCCTCAGTCTGGAGCTCCATGCAGGATTTCACCTCATGGGGTAGGGATGATCATGAGAAAAGTGAGAGGTCAGCCCAGAAGAGGAGCTTGTGAATGATCTCAAGGCAGTTAGGACCACAGTCACCAAACAAACCGCTGGTAACACAATACGCCGCCATGGATTGAAATCCTGCAGCGCCTGCAAGGTCCCCCTCATCAAGAAGGCACATGTCCAGGCCCGTCTGAAGTGAACATCTAAATGATTCAGAGAAGGATTGGGAGAAAGTGTTGTGGTCAGATGAGACCAAAATTGAGCTCTTTGGCATTAACGCGACTTACCGTGTTTGGAGGAAGAAAAATGCTGGCTATGACCCTAAGAACACCATCCCTGCAGTCAAGCATGGAGGTGGGAACATTATGCTTTGGGGCTGTTTTTCTGATAAATGTACACGCCAATTTTGCCGTATTGAAGGGCCACTGGATGGGGCCATGTATTGTAAAATCTTGGATAAGAACTTTCTTCCCTCAGCCAGAACACTGGCCCAAAACATACCACAAAGGCAACAAAGGAGTGGCTCCAGAAGAAGCACATTAAGGTCCTGGAGTGGCCCAGCCAGTCTCCAGACCTTAATCTTATAGAACATTTATGGAGGGAGCTGAAACTTCCAGTTACCAAGAAACCTTAAAGTGGACATTCCTTCAATGGTAAGGAGAGCCTGATATAGAGTATCCACCCACTGTTGGTTCATTTGAGGTGTGATCCTAGTCTCTTGACCTCTCCTTCAGCCCCCACATCCAATCACTGGCTAAATCTTGCTGCCTTAACCCCTCCAGGCCTGAGGGTAAAACAAATCTTAATGCCTAAGCACAATTTTGCAACGTTGACATGTGTTAGTAAAACCGTACATATCATCACAACTACTTTGTACATCCGGGTGAATTATACCGCGTTTTTTCAGGACAAATTGGGCTTTCAGTTGGTGGTAAATGGTACTGGATATTTCCTGATTTTTTTTTTTTATTATCAAAGGAAAACTGGCCCAAAATAGTAAAAAAAAAACATTTAAAATGTAGCTGTGTGTTTCTTGTTACTACCATAACCTACCACCAAAGAACAACCCAAAATACATTTTAAAGCTCTTGACGATCACAGCGATACCACATATGTGTAGGTTATTTGTTGTTTGTACCCGTAGTACAGCCCAGAAACAATAGTGCACATTTTGGGTGTTTTTTTTTTTTTTTGTTTGTTTTTTTTTTACCTAAAACACGCGGAAACTAACTTTTTTTTTTTTTTTTTAATCAGTGAACTAGATCAAACCTTGATCTAAATAGTTTTTCTTTTTTTTTTATATATATTTATTTTTCCTTTTTTTACAAACATTTTTTTTTCCCTCTATGCCAGGAGTTAGAGAGCAAAAATGTATCCCTCTCCTCCATTCATAGAGAGAGAAAAAAACAAGGGGGCCGGGCTGTACAGTGACTGATCACTGTGATAGCCAATCAGAGGCTATCACAGCGATCATGTGACCCGGAATTGGAAGTCCCGGTTCCTGATTGTTAGAACAGGACCTGGTGCTCTCAGTGACACCGCGGTCTTTGTGCCCCTGCGGTGCGCTTCCAACAGAAAGACAGGTACGCAAATATGCGGCCCCACGGAAAAAATACAAGTTCTGTGAGGCCGCATATTTGTGTCAGCGTCAAGGGGTTAACCTCCACAACATTTCCAGAATTCGCCCCTTCCTGACTAACGACACCACAAAATGGCTTTTTCACTCCTTGGTTCTTTCTCTCCTAGACTACTGCAGCTCCCTCCTCCTTGGCTTACCTTTACACAGGCTATCCTCCCTCCAGTCTATTATGACTGCTGCTGCTGGACTAATACACCTTACTAACCGATCCGTGACCGCTGTCCCTCTCTGTCAATCTCTTCACTGGATATCGCCCAAAGTGTTCTCTCCGCTCCTCCTAAGACGACCTGCTCTCTAGCTGCCTTGTTACCTCCTCCCGCGCTCGCTTCCAGGACTTCTCCAGAGCCTCTCCCATTCTCTGGAACTTCCTACCCCAGTATGCCCGGTCGGCTCCTACCCTGTCTGCCTTTAGGTGATCATTAAAAACTCATTCATTCAGGGAAGCCTAACCCACCTCCACCGAAAAACTGTATTTGAGTCACCTCCATCAGATCATCCCCCGCAACTATTTTAGAAGATTGTAAGCTCTATGAGCAAGGCTCTCTTATTCCTTCTGTATTGAACTGCATTGTAATTGTATTGTCCCCAGGGGCGGACTGACTATTTGGAAACTCGGGCACTGCCCAAGGGTCCGGGGTCAGTAGGGGGCCCCATGAGATGCCCCTGGTACCTTTTTTTCAAAGGCTTTTTTGAGTTTGGGCAAGGACACAGGGGCCCCATGATCCCCTATTGCCCAGGGGCCCCATGAGTTGTCAGTCCACCCGATTGTCGCCCTTTATATTGTACAACGCTGCGTAAACTGTTGGCGCTATATGAATCCTGTATAATAATTATAGTGGCAGTACTGAAGTGCAGGTCCCTGTGGTGTCTGCAAGCTTGTTTGTCAGTCATCATATTGATCCCTATAGAGGAGCCAAATCAATCTGGTATTTTTTGGGCCTCTTGCAGCCTTCTGATGCCTTCTTTGCAATCATTTTTGCATTTTTACTTGAACAAGGCCCTACATGTTCTCCAGATGATAAAATCTACTCTTGCTTATGTAATAATATAATAATTATTATTATTAATATAGTATTATTATTATTGTTACATTGTAAAGTGCTGAGCAAACTGCTGGCTCTATATAAATCCTGTATTATAATAATAATAATAATAATATATAAATCCCGTATAATAATAATAATATATATAAATCCTGTATAATAATAATAATAATAATATATAAATCCCGTATAATAATAATAATAATATATAAATCCTGTATAATAATAATAATAATAATAATATATAAATCCTGTATAATAATAATATATATAAATCCTGTATAATAATAATAATAATATAAATCCTGTATAATAATAATAAAAAGAAAAAATTATTATTATACAGGATTTATATATTATTATAATACAGGATTTATATATTATTATTATACAGGATTTATATATATTATTATTATACAGGATGTATATAAATTATTATTATTATACAGGATTTATTTATTATTATTATACAGGATGTATATATTATTATTATTATTATTATACAGGATTATATATTATTATTATTATTATACAGGATTTATTTATTATTATTATACAGGATTTATATATTATTATTATTATACAGGATTTTATATATTATTATTATTATTATACAGGATTTATTTATTATTATACAGGATGTATATATTATTATTATTATTATACAGGATTTATATATATTATTATTATACAGGATTTATATATTATTATTATACAGGATTTATATATTATTATTATTATACAGGATTTATATAGCGCCAACAGTTTGCTCAGCGCTTTACAATATAACGGGAGACAATACAGCAACAATACAGTTCAATACAAGAGGGATAGGAGGGCCCTGATCCTGGGAGCTTACAATCTAAGAGGGCTATTAATGTTATGGGTTGCCATTTATAAGTTTTATTGCCCCCCATAAATGCACTGCTTATGTTTTCTTCCAGTTCTAGTGGATCTCTGGTGTCTGTAAGTGGCATGGTGTCCTCTCGTTCCATGTGTGACATGCAGAACACGCACACACAGCAACGCCGAATACGTCCTCTAGGTAAGCATCCTATTTTCATGATTATTTCCTAAATCAAACCTGTCCCCTTAAGTAAACCAGTCATAGGAGTCATCAGTCTCCGCTCCTCGCATGACCTCCTGCTCTCTAGCTCCCTTGTCTCCTCCTCCCATGCTTGTCTCCAGGACTTCTTCAGAACTTCCCTCATCTTCTGGAACTCTCTACCCCAATTTATCAGATTATTGCCTACTCTGCTCACTTTTAGGCGATCTCTGAAAACCGATCTCTTCAGGGAAGCCTATCCTGCCTTCAGTTAAGAACGGTATCCTCTATTCCTCCTACCAGTCCAACCCCCACAGTTACTACCTTTTGTACCACTAGCCCCTCCCTCTTAGATTGTAAGCTCCAAGGAGCAGGGCCCTCCTATCCCTCTTGTATTGAACTGTATTGTTGCTGTATTGTCTCCCGTTATATTGTAAAGCGCTGAGCAAACTGTCAGCGCTATATAAATCCTGTATAATAATAATAATATATAAATCCTGTATAATAATAATAATATAAATCCTGTATAATAATAAATTTTTCCATGCAGCACTGATCCTCAATCTTCTCTCAACAGACAACTTCCTGCCACCTGGTGTCTCCATTAAGGTGATCCTGACTCAGCCTACCAGCCAATCAACAGTATCCGTCTATTTAGATCTGACGCTGGGCTCGTACCCTCTTGGGCTGCTCCCGGGGGCCACCGTGCTGATGCAAGGGCTGGAGAGGAAAGTGTCCAGGTATCGTATAACATGTCTTAGCAAGCTGGCCGGACTTTCTGGTATTCCCTCTGCAGCTGGAGGGCCATACGCTTCCCACCCTGGCGTCTGTGCTTGACATTCTTGTAATAGCTCTGGGCCTCTACCATGCGGGTGGCCTGTTTATTGTAAACCTGTCATGAGTAATTTAGGAGGCTGCCATTGGTGTCTTTGCATTTGTTCAGAAAGTGACTTCATGCCTAACTGACTTTCAGTATAACTGAATGCGATCAGCTGGCTCGTTGGTCTAGGGGTATGATTCTCGCTTTGGGTGCGAGAGGTCCCGGGTTCAAATCCCGGACGAGCCCTTACTTTTAAACAGAAACATCAGTAGTTTGGTTTTAAATGATCTGTTTTAAATGAAATGTAAGGCTGCCATTGCTGACCACCTTCTGAAGACACTGGTTGCCTAGCTGTCTCTGGCTTCATTACTTTGGGACAAGTATGCAGATCTGAGGAAGTCAGAGAACGTAATCTGTATACTTGTATCACATCAGTCACTTAGAAAGTATTGAAGCCACTGGAGAAGTATGACAACTGAGGAAATAGTATTTTCAGAAGGGGAGGCCAGCAGTGGTGAGATTCTGTCTTTCTTAATACAAGTCTCCTTTAACCATTCGGTAACTGTGCTATAGCTGAATGACGGCTACAGCGCGGTTACGCAGGTCTGGGAGGGCGTCAAATGACGTCCTCCCAGAACGCACTCTCCCACGCGCCCCCAGGGGAGCGCACCCTGGCGATCGCTGTGCACCCAACGGACACAGCATGTGATGAGGTAAAAGGCCAATCAGAGCAGCCTTTTACCACATTATCACGAAAACCGGCAGCTGTCACAGAGCAGATTGGCACTGATCATCAGGGCACTGATGATCAGTGACCTGACGATCAGTGCCATGCAGTGCCTCCCACCAGTGCCCATCAGTGTCACCCATCAGTGCCCCCCAGCAGTTCCACCCATCAGTGCTGCCCAGCAGTTGCACCCATACGTGCCCAGCAGTGCTGCCCATAAGTGCCATCAAACCGTGCTGCCAGTCAGTTCCGCCCGTCATTGTCACCCATCAGTGCCGCCTATCAGTGACCATCATTGCTGTATATCAGTGCAACCTCATCAATGCCCACCAGTGCAGTCTCATCAGTGCTGCCTATCTGTGCCACCTCATCAGTGCTGCCCATCTGTTCTCATCAGTGCTGTCTATCAGTGCAACCTCATCAATGCCCACCAGTGCTGCCTATCAGTGCCCATCAGTGCAGCCTCATCAACACACATCAGTGAAGGATAAAAATTACCTGTTTGCAGAATTTTTAAATAGAAACAAAGAAAAACTTTTTTTTTGTAAATAAAAAACCCCAGTGGTGATTAAATACCACCAAAAGAAAGCTCTATGTTGGTGAAAAAAATGATAAAACTTTTAATATGGGTACAATGTTGCATGACTGCGCAATTTTCATTCAAAGTGCGACAGCATTGAAACCTGAAAATTGGCCTGGGCACGAAAGTGGTTAAAGCCTGACTTCAGAGAAAATAAAAAAGAAGCCCCGTCCAGTGTTCAAAACTAAAAAGCAGCTTTGGGTTCAATATTATTATTATTATTATACAGGATTTATTATATATTATTATTATTATTATACAGGATTTATATATTATTATTATTATACAGGATTTATATATTATTATTATTATTTATACAGGATTTATATATTATTATTATTATACAGGATTTTATATATATTATTTATTATTATTATTATACAGGATTTATATAGCACAAACAGTTTGCTCAGCGCTTTACAATATAAGGGAGACAATACAGCAACAATACAGTTCAATACAAGAGGGATAGGAGGGCCCTGATCCTGGGAGCTTACAATCTAGGAGGGAGGGGCTAGTGGTACAAAAGGTAATAACTGTGGGGGATGGACTGGTAGGAAGAGTAGAAGATTCCATTATTAGCTGAGGGCAGGATAGGCTTCCCTGAAGAGATAGGTTTTCAGAGATCGCCTAAAAGTGAGCAGAGTAGGCGATAGTCTGATAAATTGGGGTAGAGAGTTCCAGAGGATGGGGGAAGCTCTGGAGAAGTCCTGGAGACGAGCATGGGAGGAGGAGACAAGGGAGCTAGAGAGTAGGAGGTGTTGCGAGGAGTGGAGAGGACGGTTTGGGCAATATTTATCTTACCTTCTTCGGCTCTGTCCTGCACAGTTCCCCTTTTCCACCACAAGATGCCCTGAGTCTTCAAAGCTGAATGATATCCAGCACTGTGGACTTGCATTAAGTTCAGGATGTCTTGGACTCGCCCATGAGGGGTCTTCACCACACAATGTACTGCCAATACAGTGTAATGACACAGGGAGCATCACATCAGCACCACTCTCTGCATCACTGGAGACCGACCACCACAGGGAGAAGACATTAGGAGGAAAAGGACCCCATGCCTTTAGATTTTAATATATATAAAAAAAAAAAAAATACAGCAGGCTTGGTGGGTGGGAAGAGATTGGGAAGGGGGGTGTCAATTGAGCTCCGGAGGGGGGCTATTTCTAGAGTTTAGCTTTAAAATACAGAGGAGCAGTGGCGGACTGACCATTTGGAAACTCAGGCACTAGGGCCCAGGGTCAGTAGGGGGCCCCATGAGATGCCCCTGGTACCTTTTTTCATAGGCTTTTTTGAGTTTGGGCAAGGACACAGGGGCTCTATGATCCCCTATTGCCCGGGGGCCCCATGAGTTGTCAGTCCGCCCCTTAGCAGGAGATCTGTTTTATATGTGATAGTTTTTACTTGCTTTATGCTAAACTGTAACCGGTCAGCAATGGTGTCACAAAAGCATTTTGGTGACATTGCTGGCTGCCAGTTAAAGACACGCTGGCAGGTGAGTTGGATCCTGTCTAAATTGTCCCTAGTATGTGTATGTATGAATGTGAGTTAGGGACCTTAGATTGTACACCCCTTGAGGGTTAGGGACCTTAGATTGTACCCCTTGAGGGTTAGGGACCTTAGATTGTACACCCCTTGAGGGTTAGGGACTGATGTGAATGTACAATATATATGTAAAGTGATGGCGATATACAAGTACCTGAAATAAATAAATATGTTGTAGCTTTCAGGCGACCTGCAGCATGCAGTGAGCAGGTACAGTTGGAAATCCCCATTTGCCTGCTTGTCCTGCTGCTGATACTTGTGTTCTTATCTATTCAGGTCAGGCAGAGCTTATCTTCGCAGTGTGTCCACCACCTACATCAAGGTTCTGAGCCCTCCGACAGAGATCAGGTCTGTGCCGGGTCTTTTATACATTAAAATGATCCTTTATAAAACAATAAAGAGTACCTGTCATTGTGGAAGAATCAATATGTCATACACTAGTTAGAAAGGCGGTGAAGGTGTTTGGGTGGCTCCCTCTGTTCTATAGAAGTATTCGATTTTCTTTCCTGTACCCATGCAGGTACCACACGGTTATTGCAATTACCTCCCTTTGCCAAAAGCCCTCTTGGACCCACATCTCTTTTTAAGGGCTCATGTACACGGGGCGTTTGGAAAACTCTTCTGAACGATGGAAACTGACTGCTGGAAAACGTGGGTTAAAAAACGTCAGTTTAGCCGCGTTTATGTGCGTTTGCGTTCAGAAGCGTTTTTAAAAGATAACCTCAGGAGACCTTCCCAAATGCCCAGAATGCACTGAAAAACAGTAAAAAATTAACTATTTCAGATATTTCAAGAGAAATAGAGAGAGCAGAAGCAGAGAGAGCAGTATGTGTTGTGATGACCTGTTTTTTTCTGGTTGTATTCACTATGGATCCCATCATGAGAATAATGCGGCGCGTTCTACCATTTTTATCCTTCACGCCAAACCTGGCACTGACTGTGCTGGTGTACTGGGTCCATTTGAATACATGGAAAACACTTTGCATGCATTTCTGATGATGAAAAAAGGCTCTGGACAGCATCTGGATATGGAACAGTTAAAAAAACGCTTCTAAACGCAAATGCTTATAAACGCAGTTAACCGCGTTTACAAGCGTTTGGAACGCCGGTAAAATCTACTCCTGAACACAAGTTTGGTGCGTTCAAAAATCGACTGTAAACTCAAATGCCTGTAAATGCCTGTAAATGACTGTAAATGCCTGTAAATGACGTTGTGTACACGGACACATAGGGAAACATTAGGGAGAGTTCAAGGCCGGTGAAAAAAACGCAGAACATCTCCTGAACGTCAGTTTATCAGCTGCAGTGTACATGAGCCCTAACCAGTTCAGCTCACCCACCGGTACGCCCCCTATGGAACAAAGTCATTTTTACATATCTGCTGTGGGCCTGTTTATTCAGCAGTATCTTTGTCTATTTTTAACATAACAAATACATATATGTTTTTTTAGGACAAAAAATGCTGTATTTTGGTGATATTTTCTTTCAAAAATGATTTTTTTTTTTTATGCAATCCAATTGTGGTTTAGGCTAGGGTTACATATATGCGATTCCTGCATGCCTTGTGTGTGTTCTGTTGATTTGAATGGGCTGCTGTACCTGCGGGAAACATAGCTGTTTAAAATTGCAGCCACATGGGAACCACCTAGTGCTTTTGCACCATGCGGTTTCCTGCACCCAAAAACAAGCTACATTTTCAGATGCATGGTGGTTGCATTAAGAATGAATGGCATCACTGCCCATCTGCTGTAGATCATTTGCCTGCGGGTGGGGGGATGCATGCAATTTGCACACGTTCCATCACCTGCATCAGTGTGAGCCTAGCCCTAGGATCAGAAGGAGAAGAAGGATTTAATTGGAGCTTAATATGATATACTAAGGGCTAATAAGTGGTTTAAGGAACAATTTTTTTTTTTTTTTTTTTAACTTGTCAGGCTGCTCTAACTTATACAAATGGAAGCTCCTCCCTTTGATCTGCAGATGATGGAATCAGATGTGTATATGTCTATCTCTCATCTGAAGAATGTTTTATAAACACTGTCAGGAAGTCCTTTTAGGCCCTTTTCACACGGGGCAGACTCTGATTAGCAGGGGATCTGTCCGCTAATCCTCTGCTGATCAGAGTGGAGCAGGCTGATGAGAGGTCCGTCAAAAACAAACAAAAGTTTCTCAGTTCCCTTACCAGCTAGCCTGCAACAAAACCAGATTGACTCTCTCTAAAAAAAAAAAAAAACCCAAAAGGGTTTAGTCACACACATTTGCAAATCTATGTGTAAGCTGCAGTGGCCACGTCAAGGCACCCCAGTGTACTGCGGTCCTAACTCTATAAATTTGAGCGTCTCCAAGTTGGAGCACATATAGCAGTGGGGGTATTAAGGGCAGGTTTGTTCGGAGGGAGCCCACCCCTCTTTAACCGCCTCCCGCCCACCATATATGTGTGTGTGTATGTATATGTGTGTGTATATATATATATATATATATATATTATATATATATATATATATATGTGTGGTGTGTGTATATATATATATATACAGTCAGGTCCATAAATATTGGGACATCGACACAATTCTAACATTTTTGGCTCTATACACCACCACAATGGATTTGAAATGAAACGAACAAGATGTGCTTTAACTGCAGACTGTCAGCTTTAATTTGAGGGTATTTACATCCAAATCAGGTAAACGGTGTAGGAATTACAACAGTTTGCATATGTGCCTCCCACTTGTTAAGGGACCAAAAGTAATGGGACAATTGGCTTCTCAGCTGTTCCATAGCCAAGTGTGTGTTATTCCCTCATTATCCCAATTACAATGAGCAGATAAAAGGTCCAGAGTTCATTTCAAGTGTGCTATTTGCATTTGGAATCTGTTGCTGTCAAATCTCAAGATGAGACCCAAAGAGCTGTCACTATCAGTGAAGCAAGCCATCATTAGGCTGAAAAAACAAAACAAACCCATCAGAGAGATAGCAAAAAACATTAGGCGTGGCCAAAACAACTGTTTGGAACATTCTTAAAAAGAAGGAACGCACCGGTGAGCTCAGCAACACCAAAAGACCCGGAAGACCACGGAAAACAACTGTGGTGGATGAGCGAAGAATTCTTTCCCTGGTGAAGAAAACACCCGTTCACCTGATTTGGATGTAAATACCCTCAAATTAAAGCTGACAGTCTGCAGTTAAAGCACATCTTGTTCATTTCATTTCAAATCCATTGTGGTGGTGTATAGAGCCAAAAATGTTAGAATTGTGTCGATGTCCCAATATTTATGGACCTGACTGTATATATGTGTGTGTATATATTATATTTTTTTTCTATTGAAATATATTTTCAAATATATTGAATATGGCCAAAATTGTAGTATTTCAAATATATGTCATTCTATTTGGGAAAGATATTTTTAAAATCTATCTCAAATATATTTTTTTCGGGGGGGGGGGGGTATATGTAGTGCCCCCCAATGTACACAACAGGTTTCGTCTCACTTTGTGACTAGGTAGTTGGATTTTCTCGATTGCTGATTTTTTTTTTTTTTGCCCTACCTTTATATCTTGTCTGTTTTCTTTCTCCCCCCGTGCTGTAAACAGTGACAGTTATCCAGCTCCACCTCTGGTGCTATTCAGGCAACTTTCCGGTTTTCCATCACCCCAGCGTGCCGTGTGTTCAGTGACTTGTGTCCTCAGTGTCACCTTGTCCTGGGACTGCTCCTTGTGTTACAGCACTTTCACCCAGGTAAGCACATCGGATCTCTTCTCATTACAGTGCAACCAGTCATAGCTAGAAATATTAGTCCTGCACGGCCATTTTTCATCATTTTCCATCAATGTTCTTTGAAGTGTGTCGGAGAACAGACCATGAATAATAAAACTTTCCCTCTTTGATTGAACTGTATTGTTGCTGTATTGTCTCTCGTTATATTGTAAAGCGCTGAGCAAACTGTTGGCGCCATATAAATCCTGTATAATAATAATATTATAAATCCTGTATAATAATAAAATAAATAATATATAAATCCTGTATAATAATAGTAATAATATATAAATCCTGTTAATAATAATAATATAAAAATAATAATATATATAAATCCTGTATAATAATAATATATAAATCCTGTATAATAATAATAATATATAAATCCTGTATAATAATAATAATATATAAATCCTGTATAATAAAATAATATATAAATCCTGTATAATAATAATAATAATATATAAATCCTGTATAATAATAATAATATATAAATCCTGTATAATAATAAATAATAAATCCTGTATAATAATAATAATAATGTATAAATCCTGTATAATAATAATATATAAATCCTGTATAATAATAATAATATATAAATCCTGTATAATAATAATAATATATAAATCCTGTATAATAATAATAATATATAAATCCTGTATAATATATAATAATATATAAATCCAGTATAATAATAATATATAAATCCTGTATAATAATAATAATATATAATTCCTGTATAATAGTAATATATAAATCCTGTATAGTAATAATAATATATAAATCCTGTATAATAATAATAATATATAATTCCTGTATAATAGTAATATATAAATCCTGTATAATAATAATAATATATAAATCCTGTATAATAATATATAAATCCTGTATAGTAATAATAATATATAAATTCTGTATAATAATATATATAATTCCTGTATAATAATATAATATATAAATCCTGTATAATAATATATATCCTGTATAATAATAATAATAATATATAATTCCTGTATAATAGTAATATATAAATCCTGTATAATAATATATAAATCCTGTATAGTAATAATAATATATAAATCCTGTATAATAATAATAATATATAAATCCTGTATAATAATAATAATATATAAATCCTGTATAATAATAATATATAAATCCTGTATAGTAATAATAATATATAATTCCTGTATAATAGTAATATATATAAATCCTGTATAGTAATAATAATATATAAATCCTGTATAATAATAATAATATATAAATCCTGTATAATAATAATGTATTTGTAACAATCAGTAAATAGGTGCTAAAACAAACCATAACTGACCTCTCTAGCTGCTTGCACTGTGAACTAATTCATTCCCAAATATCCTAAAAGATCACAACAGACTCTAAACTCTAGTTTCAGTAGATTTCTAACTGCTTAGAAACACATGCGGTGAGTGTACAATAGAGGGCTAGAAGCCTGCTAATATCTGTTCCCATAGTAAAAAGCTTTGAGATTTCATTGCCTCTGGTTTTTGTTGTTTTTTGTTTTTTCATTTTGTCTTCTCTGGTTTCTCAATAACATGCTAGTTACATTTTTAAATAAAATCTTTCTGTATACAGTATATTATTCATGCCATATTTTAGACCCTGTTAGGTCTCTGTGCCTCTGTATGCAATGTAGGCAGATGACGGCTGGTTGGACGGGCCGGCAGGGTGCTGTGATGTTTTCAGGACACTTAGTACATCACATACCAATAAAGCCTTTCCATTTTTTAGTAGGTTAGTTTGCACCCAGTGATGGGTGGTTTTCTATACAATGCAAGCAGATCATTGCAGATGGTAGGGATCAGCAGGGTGCTGTACATAACATCACAGCACCCGGTCTCCTCCCACAATCCCTGATACAAGCAGTGGGCTGGGTCTTGGGAGGAGTTATGCAAATATCAAAATGCCTTGGTGGGTAAATGTCAGTCTGGAGTAGTGGGCATTCCTAGGCAGGCTGTATTTGCATGCAGATCCCTAATGCCCACATGTGATGCTGAGCCTCTATGAAAGAACTGAAATCCAGTGAATGAAAGGGATGGGGGGAATGGCATTCAGGCTGGGGAGGAAAGCGTTCTATAGTGCTGGATGTCCTCCAGCCAGGAAATGTGGTGGGCAGGGCCGTTGATAAGGGGGTACCACCAGTCCTCCTGTACGGGGCCCAGACCAGCCAGGGGGGCCCAGGCAGCTGGGTGAATCTGATGTGGGCAGGGGGGGTGATGGGTGGGCCCCTCCTCCACACCCAAAACCCCACCGCCGCAGTGCTACAAGGGTTCAGTAAATATGTCACCAGCCCATTCCTTTCCTGAATGAACACAATGGGTGATTGGTGCTGATCACTTATGTGTTCATTCATAACTGAAGCATGGTAAACTGATTTTTTTTTTTGGGTTGAGGGAGCCCTGTCAGGTTGGCCGTATGGGGCCCCGTGGTTTCTAACAGCAGCCCTGGTGGTGGGCTCCATCTGACATGCTTCAGCTACTAATGCACACTGTGAGAAGCTGAAGGGAAGGCTGGAGCTCAGCTTTAAATGATTTTATCTTAGATCGATGAATAATTTATCGTCTTGTGCATAGCCATCATACATTGGGACTGTAATGAGCTTAAAATAAACCTGTGCTTTGCCCATATCTAACTCCTCACAGCGGCCATCTGTTCTGTATTTCTTTCCCCAGGGATCATGCGAGCGATCGCCCTTCTGCACCTCTCAGTCTGGAGTCTTCCGAGCAAATGCTTGGTGAGTACAACACTTACTTCTCCCACTTTTTTTGGAATTGACTTGACAGGATCTCCCTTCGTCCATTCAAAGATTGCCTTGCAGTCCATGAAAAGAATACAAAACATTTTCTGAATGGAGGAGAGGAGAGGAAGATCTTCCCAGAGCTCTCTGCTGTATGTGATCTGAGCACAGCATGCCAAGCTCCCAGGTGCTGCGGCTGATAACAGCCAATAAAACACACATATGGTCTGCGTGAGACACGACTCTGTGATATAGCTCTCTCTCTCTATCCATTCAGTTGTATCCGACCCTTGGCGATTGCATGGACCGTCACTCGTAAGTGACTTTTTCCATGAATTCTCTTAGCAATTATTTTTACAGGGTAGGTTGCCAGGTCTTTCCCCAACCCCCACGATGCAGGAGATCCTGCATGGCCAGGGATGAAACTAGGACAATTTAGACAGGAGCCAATTAACCTATCAGCATGTCTTTGGAGTGTGGGAGGAAACCGGAGCACCCGGAGGAAACCCACGCAAGCACAGGGAGAACATACAAACTCCATGCAGGAGGCACCATTGTCGGGAATCTAACCCATGACCCAATTACTGCAGACGTGCTAAGCCACTGTGCCGCCCGTGATATAGCTAGGTCATATCAAAAAGATTTGAGACTAGTTTTGTAACACGCCACCAGATGGCAGTACAAGGCTGCATTCACAGACACAGGGAGCACCATAAGTCACTGCGCCAAAAGACATCATCCTGTGTACCTCGGGAGTTGTGGTTCTGGTGCGGTTCTGACCACGTGCGTTACTGTGTCTGCTATTTTATCACGGACAGCAAGTTAGAACAAAGAGAAAACGTGAAATTCTGCGTGAATCCGGGCAAATCACTGGATCTATGCAATGTTGTAAAAACAGCGACCTTTGAGCGGGATCTTCATCTTCAGGAACAGGGTATTTTCTGGGGATGAGCTTGTTGAAGGTCTTCCTGATCTCTCGCCATCTTCCAGCGATGTTCTTCTGCTCTTGTCACTCAGAACACCTCGAGCGACTCATTGCAGCATCTCCGTAAACTTGCCGAATCATGTCAGATGTCTCTGTGACAGATTTGCCGGTTTCACACAGAGTTTCACGTTTGCTTTTTGTTCTAACTTGCTGTCCGTGATGAAATAGCAAACGTGATAATGCATGTGGTCAGAAGATCACCAGTTGCACAGCTCCCGATGTACACAGGACGATAAAAATAAAATAAAATGTCTTTTAGCATACTGACTTATGAAGGTAGGTGCTCCCTGTAACTGTGCGTGCGGCCCCGTGCTGCCATCTGTTGGCTGTTAAAAAACATTTTGATACCACCTCGTATTGCCTGCACCTTAAGCCGGTCATACATGGATCACAATTTGACTGATTCAGCAGGACCGGACGAATCTCGATCAATGTATGGGCAGGCTGGTTGTACAGAAGTAGATCTATCGATCAGCTTCTGCAGAACCGCACTGTCAGATGTGTGCCACTCGATCAGCTTCACTAGCTATTGCCAGAAGCTCTGATCAGTGTATTCTGATGGTGGGGGGGGTCTCTCCGCTGTCAGAATCAGAGGCGGACTGACCATTTGGAAACTCGGGCACTGCCCGAGGGCCCGGGGTCAGTAGGGGGGCCCCATGAGATGCCCCTGGTACCTTTTTCTTAGGCTTTTTTGAGTTTGGGCAAGGACACAGTGGCCCCATGATCCCCTATTGCCTGGGGGCCCCATGAGTTGTCAGTTCGCCCCTGGTCAGAATACAAAGGCACAATGGGAAGGATTCCCCCATCCACATCAAATGTGCGGATGTCGAGTCATAATTTTTTTTTTTTTTTTTTTTTTTTCTTGCAACCTGCTGGCTGCACAAAAAAAAATGAATCCCCTATAGGCTGCTTTACACTGGGATGAAACCAAAAGATAGCCCCACCCACCACCACCTATGTTCTCTGTAAAGGACAGACAGTCCGGGACAATAGAAAGTGCAAAATCCTGAGAAAGGCAGGTGAGCAACTCAAAAGGCTTTTCCCTTTCACAGCGTAAAGGGTGCAAGAAAGAGAAGTTCAGGTCTCTAAAAAAAAAAAAAAACCCCACTTTTTTACTCCCCTAGTTGGGTGCAGCATCATTCTTATGTTGCGTCTGTTCCCCACTGCTTCTACGACTGAGAACCAATGAACAAAGACCGCTGATCGCTCAGTTCTTGGTCAGCTCTGATCACTGAGTAGTGACTGTCAGTCTCCGGCTCTCTGCTCTGCCCCTCCAGTGCTCACTGCAGCGCCAGGCTGTGGAGGGAGTGGGAAGGACTGGCTCAGGCTTTCAGCGGCTTTCTGAGAGGTTAAGCCAACTGCCGGTCCAGGCTTCTGGGTGGCTCCTGACATTAAAGTGTTACTAAACCCACAACAGTACAATCAGTCTGTAGATGCAGGAAAGCATGCTTGTTATACTCACTGTGGAACCTAAGGGGTTAATCCTCTGCAAGGCTTAAAAAAAGCTGTTTGATCCTGTCTTCTCTGCCCCTCCTCTTGTTGATATGACCACCTGATACAGACTGAATCCGTAGTCACATGCACATGCTCACTTTGGTGTGTATTCCTAGGGAGGTTTTTTTTTTTTTCCCCTTGGGAGAGTGCATGTGATCAGCACAGGTCCAATCGGGCACTGTCCAGACAAACGTCAGGGGTTCTGCATCCTCCTAGAGAAAAAAAAAACTCCTCCTACAAGCTTTAACTAGTGCTCTGCTGAAGTCTCAAGACCGCTCTAACTGCTGATGAGGAAAAGGTATTTAGCAGTTTATATTTACTAAAATAATTGCATTTCCATGTACTGTGTCCTGTGGGAGACTAGATATAGTGAATGCAGGGCCTGGGGAGACTAGATATAGTGAATGCAGGCCCGGGGAGACCGGATATAGTGAATGCAGGGTCCGGGGAGACCGGATATAGTGAATGCAGGGTCCGGGGAGACCGGATATAGTGAATGCAGGGTCCGGGGGAGACCGGATATAGTGAATGCAGGGTCTGGGGAGACCGGATATAGTGAATGCAGGGTCCGGGGAGACCGGATATAGTGAATGCAGGGTCCGGGGAGACAGATCTAATGAATGCAGGGTCCGGGGAGACCAGATATAGTGAATGCGGGGTCCGGGGAGAACGGGTATAGTGAATGCGGGGTCCGGGAGACCAGATATATAGTGAATGCAGGGTCTGGGGGAAACGGATATAGTGAATGCAGGGTCCGGGGAAGAACGGATATAGTGAATGCAGGGTCCGGGGAGACCGGATATAGTGAATGCAGGGTCGGGGAGACCAGATATAGTGAATGCAGGGTCCGGGGAGACCAGATATAGTGAATGCAGAGTCCGGGAGAGCGGATATAGTGAATGCGGGGTCTGGGGAAACCGGATATAGTGAATGCGGGGTCCAGGGAGAGCGGATATAGTGAATGCAGGGTCCGGGGAGAGCGGATATGGTGAATGCGGGGTCTGGGGAAACCGGATATAGTGAATGCGGGGTCCAGGGAGAGCGGATATAGTGAATGCAGGGTCCGGGGGAGAGCGGATATAGTGAATGCAGGGGTCCGGGGAGAGCGGATATAGTGAATGCAGGGTCCGGGGAGAGCGGATATAGTGAATGCAGGGTCCGGGGAGAGCGGATATAGTGAATGCGGGGTCCGGTGAGAGCGGATATAGTGAATGCGGGGTCCGGGGAGAGTGGATATAGTGAATGCGGGGTCCGGGGAGAGTGGATATAGTGAATGCAGGGTCCGGGGAGAGAGGATATAGTGAATGCGGGGTCCGGGGGAGAGTGGATATAGTGAATGCAGGGTCCGGGGAGAGCGGATATAGTGAATGCGGGGTCCGGGGAGAGCGGATAAAGTGAATGCAGGGTCCGGGGGTTTAGTATCACTTTAAAGTCTGGATTTCTCCAGAGCCTAGACTGGCTGAGTGATGTCAGCCGGCAGCAAGCTTTAGCCCACTGTTGGCTGAAAATGGGTCACAAGAGTGCACTTCGTTCTGCACTCCTCTACAGGAGAAGTTTGACCAAAAGAGCTTTGGCCGTACGTCTCCTTTAAGTTACAAATCTAAAAATGAGGGATATAAAGATACCGCGTATCAATGTACATAGAGCTCAGTGTTCAGTGTACAGCTCGGCATGCAGAGTGGAGCTCTGGTGTTTCTGTGATAAAGATGTAAATATTTCTGGCGTGTTTTGTACTCAGGACTGACCTGCCCGCCATCTTCTCTTTTATATCTCAGTGTGAAGGCAGAGGACGGCTCCGGGGGAGGTCCAGCTGTACCTCCAGGATGATGCGGTCTGTCTGCTCCTGGCCATCCCCAGCAACCTCTGGGAGGCGCTGAAGAGCCAAGTTGTGACTAGAGGGAAAGTAACGGTGAAGAATCGGGGCAGAAGTGAACTGCCGGTACGTTGGTCTGTTTTATCTCAAGGTGACTTTTATGAAATGTTTTACCTTTGTGCAGGCGAGTACACGTCAGGGTGAGTCATTGTCTACATGCAAGGGAAAATGTCACCAGCACACGTCACATGCCTGATGAAGGGGTCCTGCGAGACTCCGAAACGTTGCCTTGCTGTAACTATGTGATTGTTCATTAAAACCTTTGGACCCACATTGGTGATCCTCTGGGTGCTGGATTTTTTTTTAGCAGAAAGTAAAAAATATTTTTTTTTTAATTGGAAATGTTTTTTTAGCAGAAAGTAAAAAATATATATTTTTTTTAATTTGGAAATGTTTTTTAGCAGAAAGTAAAAAATATATAATTTTTTTTTGGATGTTTTTGAGCAAAAAGTAAAATATATTATATATATATATATGAGCATATAAATATATATATATAATATTATTTTTTTTTTTTAATTGGATATGTTTTTATATATTTTTTTTTTTTCAATTGGATATGTTTTTTATATATATTTTTTTTTTTTTCAATTGGATATGTTTTTTAGCAGAAAGTAAAAAATATTTATTTATTTTTTTCAAAATGCTTGGTCTTTTTTTGTTTTATAACAAAAAAAATAACTCCAGTGGTGATGAAATACCATCAAAAGAAAGCTCTATTTGTGTTTAAAAAGAAAAAAAAAAAAAGAATATACCGTATATACTCGAGTATAAAGCCGAGGTACCTAATTTTACCACAAAAAACTGGGAAAAACTATTGACTCGAGTATAAGCCGAGGGTGGGAGTATAAAGCCGAGGGTGGAATAGTGCCCCAAATTGGGAGGCAATAGTGCCCCCATCATTGGTGTCAGTGGGAGGAATAGTGCCCCATCATTGGTGTCAGTGGGAGGAATAGTGCCCCATCATTGGTGTCAGTGGGAGGAATAGTGCCCCATCATTGGTGTCAGTGGGAGGAATAGTGCCCCATCATTGGTGTCAGTGGAGGAATAGTGCCCCATCATTGGTGTCAGTGGGAGGAATAGTGCCCCATCATTGGTGTCAGTGGGAGGAATAGTGCCCCATCATTGGTGTCAGTGGGGAGGAATAGTGCCCCATCATTGGTGTCAGTGGGAGGAATAGTGCCCCATCATTGGTAGTGCCCCATCTGGGAGGAATAGTGCCCCATCATTGGTGTCAGTGGGAGGAATAGTGCCCCATCATTGGTAGTCAGTGGGGAGGAATAGTGCCCCATCATTGGTGTCAGTGGGAGGAATAGTGCCCCATCATTGGTATCACTGGGAGGAATAGTGCCCCATCATTGGTATCAGGGGGAGGAATAGTGCCCCCCCATTGGTATCAGGGGGAGGAATAGTGCCCCATCATTGGTGTCAGTGGGAGGAATAGTGCCCCATCATTGGTATCACTCAGGGAGGAATAGTGCCCCATCATTGGTGTCAGTGGGACTGGAATAGTGCCCCATCATTGGTATCAGGGGAGGAATAATGTGCCCCATCATTGGTATCAGTGGCAGGAATAGTGCCCCATCATTGGTATCAGTGGGAGGAATAGTGCCCCATCATTAGTATCAGTGACACCAATGATGCTGCACTATTCCTCCCACTGACACCAATGACACTTGCTGACCCCTGCAGCAGCACCTCTCACCCTCACTCGATTTTCGCGGGTCCGCTCGGCTCCGCCTCCTCACCCGTGATTGGCCGCCTGTGTACCTTTCCTGAGCTACAGTTCTGGCGGCCAATCACTGGTGAGGAGGTGGAGCCGAGCGGCAGGAGTGAGGGAGTGGCCGGAGTGACGGAAGGAGCAGCGCTTCCTGGATGGATCATCGGGAGCCAGGTAAGAGACAGCAGCCCTCTGCCCACCCCTGTACGCGCCCCCCTTGATGGAGCCTCGCGCCCCACTATCTGCAGATGTTGACTCGAGTATAAGCCGAGGGGGCCGTTTTTCAGCATAAAAAATGTGCTGAAAAACTCGGCTTATACTCAAGTATATACGGTATGTTTCATTTGGGTACAGTGTTGCATGACTACGCAATTGCCAGTTAAAGTGCTGCGCCCAAAAGCTAAAAATGGCCTAGTCATGTAGGGGGTAAAACATTCCGGAGGTGAAATGGTTAAAGTGGTTGTAAAGGCTGAAGGTTTTTTCTGTGCATGAAGGTAAAATCCTGTGTGCTGCTCCCCCCACAGACCCCCCCCCCCCCCCCCCAATATCTGAGCCTCCTCTCGATCCAGGGTTGTGCACGAGAGCCTCAGCTGTCCCAGGACTCGACTCACTGAGACAGCAGCGGGATTCATTGGCTCCCACTGCTGTCAATCATAGCAACTGAGCGAATGAGGAGAGAGTGGGGGCCGAGCCACAGCTCTGTGTCTTATGGATGCGTAAAGCAGGGCTCGGGAGTGAGCACGCACCAGTGCCCCCATAGAGAGCGACTTGCCATTTGGGTTACTGGTCAAGGGAGAGGAGTGCCAGCGGGGGACCTGAAAAGAGGATCAGGGGTTACTCTGTGCAAAACCACTACACAGAGCAGGTAAGTATTTATATATTTTTTTGTCCGAACCTCTAATATCAGTTTCATGTCCGAATTCCGTCTTTCTCCACAGAGTGAAGAGCACAGTGAAGACTCTCTGGTGGATCATGTGAGCCGCCTCATGTCCCGCTCAGCTGTGTCTCGTCCCCTAGTCGTGACATTCAAACAGACGAGAATTGGTGGAGCCCAGACCTCAGGTAATGACTGCGGACCTGTGCGTGTGACTGCGGACCTGTGCGTGTGACTGCGGACCTGTGCGTGTGACTGCGGACCGACCTGTGCGTGTGACTGCGGACCGACCTGTGCGTGTGACTGCGGACCTGTGCGTGTGACTGCGGACCTGTACGTGTGACTGCGGACCTGTACGTGTGACTGCGGACCTGTACGTGTGACTGCGGACCTGTGCGTGTGACTGCGGACCGACCTGTGCGTGTGCCTGTGACTGCGTGACCTGTGGACCTGTGCGTGTGCCTGTGGACTGCGTGACCGGACCTGTGCGTGTGACTGCGGACTGCGACCTGTGCGTGTGACTGCGGACCTGTGCGTGTGACTGCGGACCTGTACGTGACTGCGACCCGTGTGTGCGGACCTGTACGTGTGACTGCGGACCGACCTGTGCGTGTGACTGCGGACCGACCTGTGCGTGTGACTGCGGACCGACCTGTGCGTGTGACTGCGGACCGACCTGTGCGTGTGACTGCGGACCGACCTGTGCGTGTGACTGCGGACCGACCTGTGCGTGTGACTGCGGACCGACCTGTACGTGTGACTGCGGACCGACCTGTGCGTGTGACTGCGGACCGACCTGTGCGCGTGACTGCGGACCTGTGCGCGTGACGGCGGACCTGTACGCGTGACGGCGGACCTGTACGCGTGACGGCGGACCTGTACGCGTGACGGCGGACCTGTACGCGTGACTGCTGGAGACCAATGACATGTGTAGTTCAGTCTTCCCCTTTCTATGGACATAAAATGATATCTAATCCCTTTACAGTACATGGGAGCCGTCAATCACACTTGTGTTCCATTGAGAACTACAAGTCGACTGCTGCAGTGGCAGACAGGACTTGCAGTCCATTCATTCACAGATCTTTCTGAATGAATGACGCAGATGGACCCCGGCACAGCCGCAGCAATTTCAAAAGTGACAGGGGCTGCGGAGAAGAACCCCAGCATACTATTATGTGGGGGGGGGGGGGGGGGGTATTTGCACCATGTTACATATTACACCCTAATTATGAACATAACATGGTGCAAAAGATGAAGTTATAAATATATCACAAACCCCAGCGCACAAGAAAACCTATCAGCAGATGATAAAGGTAGACGTATGCTGCTGCGCACCGGTGTAATACACCAATTAAGTAGAAATAATATATAAACAGCGCAAATCAAAAAACCTCCTCACCAAATATATAACATCGATCAACAAAAACAATATATAAATCAATATAAATATTCTTAAATATACACTGAATATTTTATAATTTAAAAAAGTGTACAAAAAAAATTATTTAAAAATAAAATAAATTAAAACGTCCTTCTTCCCAAAAAATATATAAGATAATCTTCTCCAAAAAAAAAAGGCCAATCGGTGATCACATGCAAAATAGTAAGCAAGATGTCACTTGTGACATCATTGCTTACTACGTGCGAAATCTGTGAATGATCACAGAGATCACGTGGTACAGGGCTATTCACAACAGCCTTGTACCATGTGACAAGCTGTGCCCAATCGCTGCTCACTCAGTAGTTCTCAATGGCTGCAAGAATGCAGACAGAGAGAAAGAGAAATGATTGCTTTTACATCCTATATGGGGTGTAAAAGCAATCAGTGTAAAAAAAAAAAAAAAAATCTTCATCACCCCCACAAGTAGTACACTGTACTGCTACGGTGACAGTATGTACAAAAAAAAAAAACCAAAAACATAAACAATAATATAAAAATGTAAAAAAAAATGTTTAAAAATTATAATTTTTGGTTATAAACTAATTTGGCTTATTTTTTTTTACTAAAAATCTAACGGAATACATTTTGGCCAAGATTTATGAGGAAATATTATTTATTTGCAAAATGTTATAAGAAAAACACTTTTTTTCAATATTTTTGGACTTTTTCATTTACATAGCAAAAAAAAAAATCCCAGCGGTTAATAAATACCACCAAAATAAAGTTTTATCTGTCTCAAAAAAATGCTAAAAAATTCATATGGGTACAGTGTTGCATGACCGTGCAATTGTCATTCAAAGTGTGATAGCGCTGAAAGCTGAAAATTGGCCTGGACAGGAAGTGGGTGAAAGTGTCCGGACTGGAAGGGGGGTGAAAGTGTCCGAACTGGAAGGGGGTGAAAGTGTCCGGACTGGAAGGGGGTGAAAGTGTCCGAACTGGAAGGGGGTGAAAGTGTCCGGACTGGAAGGGGGTGACAGTGTCCGGACTAGAAGGAGGTGAAAGTGTCCGGACTGGAAGGGGGGGGAAAGTGTCCGGACTGGAAGGGGGTGACAGTGTCCGGACTAGAAGGAGGTGAAAGTGTCCGGACTGGAAGGGGGTAAAAGTGTCCGGACTGGAAGGGGGGGGAAAGTGTCCGGACTGGAAGGGGGGGAAAGTGTCCGGACTGGAAGGGGTGAAAGTGTCCGGACTAGAAGGAGGTGAAAGTGTCCGGACTGGAAGGGGGGGGGGAAAGTGTCCGGACTGGAAGGGGGTGAAAGTGTCCGGACTAGAAGGAGGGAAAGTGTCCGGACTGGGGGGAAAGTGTCCGGACTGGAAGGGGGGGGGGAAAGTGTCCGGACTGGAAGGGGGTGAAAGTGTCCGGACTGGAAGGGGGTGAAAGTGTCCGGACTGGAAGGGGGTGAAAGTGTCCGGACTGGAAGGGGTAAAAGGGACTGAAAGTGTCCGGACTGGAAGGGGGTAAAAGTGTCCCGTCCGGACTGGAAGGGGGTAAAGTGTCCGGACTGGAAAAGTGTCCGGACTGGAAGGGGGGGAAAGTGTCCGGACTGGAAGGGGGTGAAAGTGTCCGGACTGGAAGGGGGGGAAAGTGTCCGGACTGGAAGGGGGTGAAAGTGTCCGGACTGGAAGGGGGTAAAAGTGTCCGGACTGGAAGGGGGTAAAAGTGTCCGGACTGGAAGGGGGGTAAAAGTGTCCGGACTGGAAGGGGGTAAAAGTGTCCGGACTGGAAGGGGGTGTCCGGACTGGAAAGTGTCCGGACTGGAAGGGGGGTAAAAGTGTCCGGACTGGAAGGGGGGTAAAAGTGTCCGGACTAGAAGGGGGGTAAAAGTGTCCGGACTGGAAGTAGTTAAAGGATAAGTTAATTTAAAAAAAATAAATAAATAAATAATGAATGCACATTGTGCAGGTAAAATCATGTGCATTTATTTTTGTTTCTGGAGCCTGTAAAGCATTGCACCAGCGATCAGCGGATCACTGGTGCCATGCAGATCTGTCAGTATACCTTCTTGCCCATACAGGATGTACGGGCCATCAGATATACTGACAGGGAGAATCCATGCACTACCACAGCGGCTAAGGCTGTTGGGACTTGTAGTTCATTCATTCACAGAACTCTGTGAATGAATGACACGGTCGGGCGGGCGGAGCCTCACTTGGCTGCGTTTTTTTTTTTTTTTTAATTGTATCAGCTAGCGAGAGGAGAGGATTCCCCCCTTAGCTGTCACAGTGGGGAGCGGGGGGCCAGTCCGTTCCGAACATATTACATATTATACCTTGAATATGGATGCAGCATGTTAAGAAAGGTGAGTCTACCCTTTACTATCAAATAATCTGGTTACAATCTGCTTTTTCTCCTGAGGTTGATGTAACCTGCTTTGTGGTAAGCTATGTACAATTGACAGTCACAGTCATGTTAGGGCCATTCCAGCAGCCATCTTCATAGACACAGTTCAACCAGGGGCGGACAGACCATTTGGAAACTCGGGTACTGCCCGAGGGTCCGGGGTCAGTAGGGGGCCCCATGAGATGCCCCTGGTACCTTTTTCATAGGCTTTTTTGAGTTTGGGCAAGGACGCAGGGGTCCTATGATCCCCTATTGCCCGGGGGCCCCATGAGTTGTCAGTCCGCCCCTGAGTTCAACTATGACAACCACCTGAATGTGAGGAAATGGATGGGGTCAGAGGGGTACAGAAAAGTGAATAAAATGAGGGCCAAAGGTAGAATGTTGTATTTTATAGTTTAACCCCTCCCCCTCCAGAGGATTTACCCTCCCCCTTCCTGACCAGGCCATTTTTTTGCGATACGGCGCTGCATTACTTTAACTGATAATTGCGCGGTCATGCAACGCTGCACCCAAATGAAATTTATGCCCTTTTTTCCCCACAAATTGAGCTTTCTTTCGGTATTTGAGCACCTGTGCAGTTTTTATTTTTTGCGCTATAGAAAAAAAAAGACAATTTTGAGAAAATAAATATTTTTGACTTTTTGCTGTAAAACATGTGCAGTAAAAAAAAAAAATCTAATTTTGTCATAAATTTTGGCCAAAATGTATTCTGCTCCGTGTCTTTGCTAAAAAAAAAATCTCAATACGTGTAAATTAATTGGTTTACCTGAAAGTTATAGCGTTTACAAATGGCGGTATAGATACTGGAATTTTTTTTTATTACCAGTAATGGCGGCAATCAGCGACTTATAGCCGGACTGTGCCGGGCATTCTGACACTGGTGGGGGGGGAACGGACTTGGTGTCACTGACATCCCCAGTGACACCAAAGCAGTGACCAATGCTAATAAAAAGCACTGACACTGTACTAATGACACTGGGCAGGAAGGGGTTAACATGTGGGTTGATCAAAGGGTTAACTGTGTGCAGTTTCACTGTAAGCTGTGTCTGTGATTTCTACTGTAAGCACACTGCTCTATATTGGTCTGCTATGCAGAGCCATACGAAGCAGTGTGCTGGAGCTGACAGGGGAGAGAACTGTATTGTTTACATACAGTTCTCTCCCCTATCGGTAATACTCAGCGATCACCGGGTGCCGGTGAGTAATCACCGGCTGGGACCCAGTGATTGACAGCCGAGGCTGTGAATAGTGGCGCTGGTAGGGCACAAGTGCCCCCTACCCGGAAGTGAAAAAGCACATATATATACACGTGATTTTGCGCACCCGTGCCACCCTGTATCTGCTATAGGGCGCGGAAAAGTTAAAATTTTTTTTTTTTTTTCTGTTTTTTATTAAGAGCAAATTGTTGGTCCATTTTGACATTATTTTTTGTATATTGATTCATACTTTGTTTCCCCTCCCCCGCAGCAGCGGCTCAGCTTACCCGATTCACCCGAGGAGACAGAGATTACTCGACTCGTGTGCCGTCACCTCCCACTCTGACCTGTCTGCAGCTGCAGGAAGTGGAGCCCCGTGACTTGTGCCACCTGATCAGAGAGCGCCAATCACGTGCCAGTTAGATCTGTGTGCATTCCACATGTATATTTTCTTCTACATTGACCAGAAATTCTATCCGATCTTTATTTTTGTTATAAAGAAATATTTATTCTTCGTTAAAGAGGATCTAATATATTTATATGTAAAGTTACATCGTCACTATGTGTTTTTATACTTCCATAGGGGCTGGTATATTCCCTTCATGAGTAGTCATGTGCCCTTCGTCTATAGGGACAGATACCACAGTGGGAAAGGCCAGACTACACTTGATTCAAAGAATGTTTGCTCGCAGGGGTTCCCTAAAAGGGTAGAGAAGCAATTTCATGATTATTTCCTAAATCGAACCTGTTCCCGTAAGTAAACCAGTCATAAGAGTCATCAGTCTGCGCTCCTCGCACAACCTCCTGCTCTCTAGCTCCCATGCTCGTCTCCAGGACTTCTCCAGAGCCTCCCCCATCCTCTGGAACTCTCTACCCCAATTTATCAGACTATCGCCTACTCTGCTCACTTTTAGGTGATCTCTGAAAACCTATCTCTTCAGGGAAGCCTATCCTGCCCTCAGCTAATAATGGAATCTTCTATTCCTCCTACCAGTCCATCCCCCACAATTATTACATTTTGTACCACTAGCTCCTCCCTCTTAGATTGTAAGCTCCCAGGATCAGGCCCTCCTATCCCTCTTGTATTGAACTGTATTGTTGCTGTATTGTCTCCTGTTATATTGTAAAGCGCTGAGCAAACTGTTGGTGCGATATAAATCCTGTATAATAATAATATATAAATCCTGTAATAATAATAATAATATATAAATCCTGTATAATAATAATATATAAATCCTGTATAATATAATAATAATAATATATAAATCCTGTATTATAATAATAATAATATATAAATCCTGTATAATAATAATATATAAATCCTGTATAATAGTAATAATATATAAATCCTGTATAATAATATATAAATCCTGTATAATAGTAATAATATATACCGTATTTTTCGGACTATAAGGCGCACATAAAATCCCTATATTTGTACAAAAATCGGCAATGCGCCTTATATTCCGATGCGCCTTATGTATGAACAGTGTATGTTCACACTGTGCTGAACAATCTGTCAAAATGTTTTATTATGACTTTGGTAAGCGACGAAGCCACTCCCCTTGCTTATTCGAGCTTATCCTGACGACGATAAACCAATCAGAGCCAAGCAATCAACAACAAATCAAAGCTTTTTCACTTACCGAAAACTACATTTCCTGATATGTACTGTGCTTCCAAATTAAGGACCCCAAAATGGCACCTGTTAAGAGACCTGTTAAGAGACATAAGTCATACATTAGGTCTCAAATCCACAGGAACCTATTAGCATACAATTATTCTAAATATACCATTAAATATAAAGCATATAGAACTGGTGACTTCTATGGTGCATCCCCGGTTGGAGAACCGGAACAAAGTTCGTGACTCTTGTGTTGGACAAGCTGAAAGAAGTTTGCACTAACCAGATATCTCAGCACATGGAGCATGGAGTAATTAAGACCTACTCCTGGTACTCTGAAAGGAAGCCACTGGAAAGGATGATGTCATCTGATCTCTCGCCACTAGATGTCATGTTCCCAGAACAGCAGGACGATGATTCCAGAAATGCACATCAGCCAGTAAGGAGATGAATCCAGCAAGCCAGCCAGCATCACACAGGAGACCAAGAGGAACCAGGCACCTTCAAAAAGCCCAGGCTCCCTCCAATAAAGAGAGCCACAGGCCAGAAGCTTTGATAGTGTAGTATTGCATTTATTAAGTAGTAATTCAAAATGACAAGAAAAAACCACACTTACAAAAAGGTCACAGGAACAAGGGGCAGCTAAAAGATATGTCCAGACAGTGGGGGGGGCACCTCCCTGACGCGTTTCGTGTCAACACACGTTTTCAAAGGGGGTGCATTGCAGGGAAATCGATCGTTTTTATATTCCGCGGTGCGCATGCGCAGTACGCACCGGTGACGTCATTGCGGTAAAGCCGCGCATGCGCAGTACGCACATACGGCGGCCATTTTCTCGAAGAACAGTGCAGATGGACAACAGGAGGTGAAACCCATATTAAGGGATGCAGATGGAGACAGTCTAATCTGTGGAGCCATTACTATGCAGTGAGGCAAAAAAGGAATGCTAACCTTGTGTGCAGAGTATATGTAGTTATTAAACATGGGGAAATAAACTATATAAACTGCCTCTATGGACATGGCTCACAAAAAGACTATAAGGACATAGGTTAATATGTATATATGTTATTGCGATGGGAACTATTCGGGACAGGTATTCAACCTGGTGAATGAATGTATAGGCATAACGCAGGAACATAGGGTAAATAATTGACACAAGAACCTATCATATATGCAGCATGACCATGCATATCAAACGTTCTCATACTGCGCCATATGTACCTAGGTCTTACATGCAAAGACAAACTGTGGAGTCATACCAAGACAAACGTCTAAAATTACAGAAACACATGTGACCACAGTTAATACATAAAGTAAAAAGCAAATGTTTAAATAACAATGAAAAATCAAGGGGACATTAATAGGAGTGTGAAAAAAATAAAGTCCACATGGTAAAAAAAACGCATCCGAAGGCCATAGGCACAACAGATATAACATAGTGGATTGCAGTTGTAAAAATGTTACAATAATAAAGGTAATTAATATAATGAAAAGGCAATAAAAAGCAATAAAAGCAATAGAAGAACAAAGAAAACGTTATAAAGAAATTATAAAAACCATTATAAAAAAAACATTATAAAAACAGCCTCCTCACAAGAAAAAACGAACTGACAGCAACGCATGTCATAAAAAATTTAAAATAGAAGTTATGATAAATGCAGATTAACTAGTGTCAATAAAACATGATGTCCAACTCAATGTTAAGGCCTAAAGGTGATGATGTACGTAATAAATAGATCCATTTTGTTTCTAACCTAGAGACTGCTCTACGTTTATGGACTCCTCTCCAATTTTTTTCAAAACCTTGAATTACAACACTAATAACATCCAATTGACCTTCCAATATGATTTCCAAGAAATTAACTTCTTGGATTTAAACATTTTTAATAACGGTACAGGGCTATCTACCAAAACTTTCTTTAAACAGACTGACCGAAACAGCTTTATTCCAACTAACAGCTGTCACCTCCCTAGATGGGTTGAACAACATACCTAGGGGTCAATTCCTGAGGGTTCGTCGTAATTGCGATAATGTTGAGGATTTTATCCAACAATCTAATATCCTTAAAAAGAGGTTTGTGGAAAAAGCTACAATGTTAACACTCTACAGACAGAAATCAATAATGTTGAGAACACCAATAGAGAGCTGCTCCTTTCTACTGGACAACAAAATAAAAACATAATATAATGATAACAGGTTCTGTCCCTTTATCACTAATTTCTCTGCCCAGTACAAAGATGTTGCCAAGATTATTCGTAAACACTGGTCTATCCTCAAAAGTGATCCAGTACTAGGTAGCTCACTACCTGATCTACCAGAAATAACTTATAGAAGAGCTTCCTCTTTGAGGAATAAACTCGCTCCAAATGTGGTAAATCCACCGAGACAGATTACGTTTTTTAATCGAAAAGGTTTCTTCCCATGCAACCGATGCATGTTATGTGTTTGTAATGGCGTTCATAAATCGCCCATTTTTACCTTTTGTTCTCGCTCTACTGGCAAACAATACACGATAGACTCTACTATCACATGTAATAGTCTCCATGTTGTTTATCTGCTGGAATGTTCCTGCGGTAAACAGTACGTTGGCAGAACTACCAGGAGACTAAGGGATCGGCTACGTGAACATCTCAAAAATATAAAGAAGGGTTTCAAAGAACACTCTTTATCTATGCACTTTCGCGAACAACATAATCAGGATCCTCATTCACTCAAATTTATTGGCATTGACATGGTCCATAAGCATTGGAGAGGAGTCCATAAACGTAGAGCAGTCTCTAGGTTAGAAACAAAATGGATCTATTTATTACGTACATCATCACCTTTAGGCCTTAACATTGAGTTGGACATCAATTGTTTTATTGACACTAGTTAATCTGCATTTATCATAACTTCTATTTTAAATTTTTATGACATGCGTTGCTGTCAGTTCGTTTTTTCTTGTGAGGTTTGGCTGTTTTTATAATGTTTTTTATAATGGTTTTTATAATTTCTTTATAACGTTTTCTATTGTTCTTCTATTGCTTTTATTGCTTTTTATTGCCTTTTATCATTATATTAATTACCTTTATTATTGTAACATTTTTACAACTGCAATCCACATATGTTATATCTGTTGTGCCTATGGCCTTCGGATGCGTTTTTTTACCATGTGGATTTTATTTTATTCACACTCCTATTAATGTCCCCTTGATTTTTCATTGTTATTTAAACATTTGCTTTTTACTTTATGTATTAACTGTGGTCACATGCGTTTCTGTAATTTTAGACGTTTGTCTGTTATATTTTAGTGGTATGACTCCACAGTTTGTCTTTGCATGTAAGACCTAGGTACATATGGCGCAGTATGAGAACGTTTGATATGCATGGTCATGCTGCATATATGATAGGTTCTTGTGTCAATTATTTACCCTATGTTCCTGCGTTATGCCTATACATTACATTCACCAGGTTGAATACCTGTCCGAATAGTTCCCATCGCAATAACATATATACATATTAACCTATGTCCTTATAGTCTTTTTGTGAGCCATGTCCATAGAGGCAGTTTATATAGTTATTTCCCCATGTTTAATAACTACATATACTCTGCACACAAGGTTAGCATTCCTTTTTTGCCTCACTGCATAGTAATGGCTCCACAGATTAGACTGTCTCCATCTGCATCCCTTAATATGGGTTTCACCTCCTGTTGTCCATCTGCACTGTTCTTCGAGAAAATGGCCGCCGTATGTGCGTACTGCGCATATGCGCGGCTTTACCGCAATGACGTCACCGGTGCGTACTGCGCATGCGCAC